AGTTTGTTTTTGCACTTCCTTCCTTGCATCTTCATGTCGTTCGTTTATTCCTTGTTGCTGACTTTCGTTTCTTCCTTCTTTCTCTGGCTCTGCTTCTGAGCCCTTAAGGTTCCTGCAATGCCACTAGGAGCCCATACTTGCCTCTTCGTACTCGTACCTTGACCTGGTGATCCAGAGTTTTCTTGAATCTGTTGATGCTAATCCCTGTACAAGTAGAACACTGCTAAACTCTTCACGGTTCCAGAATAACACAGGGCCGCGTGGGGAAGCAGAACCTTAAGGACCCAATTGAACGAACCCCTCTTGTAAACTAAACATAAAGAAACCTGATTTCCCACACCAGATGGGCTTTGGATGGACCCCATTCAATTCACAAAAGACATAAGTTCGAGAAGTCTTCTGTATTTAGCATGCATAGCCCGGCTGACATTGTTCCAGCAGACACAAGTTGGCTCTTAACACGGTGACGTTGTTGCTGTAGATTGGAAAGCTCGGGGCGATGCGCAAAGCCAGCTAAAAAGGCAGGCCGCCACCTGATGCTTGTGGGTCTTTGTCTGCTTCTGCTTATTCAGCTTCAGCGTCTTCTGGACCTGACGAACTTCTGCACTCAACTTCGGTTGCCAGCAAAGATAGATAGGGTTCGCACCATTTGCGATCAATGTCAGCGGCGGCCACGCCCAAGCAGAACAGTGGCTGCTAATACAGAAGTATCCAAAATCCGAAGACCACAAATCGATTCGCGGTTTCTGCACTACTGACTAGACACTGTAACAGGATTGTTTCTGCTCGAGGCAACGGTATACTTTCTGCTTGATGATCGCCCTGCAAGACGCAGCCGTCACGCGTGAATACATGGACTTTGGACGTCGTTTACACAAAAGGCAATATGCCAACTCCAGGAGGGCTGCACTTCTCATTACCATGTTCAACTAAAATGCTCAACCTGACCTGATTTTGTGCAGATAGCTCAGCATGGCCGTGTGCAGGCTTGGCTGTGGAAAAGGTCACAGAAGAATCCTTGAACACGCAGCCACCACCACCATTGAAGGCAAAGACATGTGTTGCGACTTCCCCAGTCTGGTGCCTCGTGCCAGCAGGGGAAGTTGCACAGCGTGCTGCTGGCCAAGTCACATACTTCGCATGGACAAGACCACAGAAACTTGAACCATGAAAACCTACGAACCTAGCCAGCTATCCAAGATGGCTGCCAGGTATTGGGACAGTGTGCGCCCTCCGTGGCTTTGAGCGAACGCTCTCGTTCGAAGACATTGCATGGCCCTGGCCCTGGTGGCCGCAAGGCTGAGCGTGAGCGTGGTGCATCGCGTGACTTTGGTGATGACCTTCACGCACATGCAAGTGGTGGTGACTTGTCTGGTGATTCACTCGATGGTCTTCAGGCAGACGGTGCGATTCCGTCTTGCCTGCGACATTCCTCGCAAGGTGTGGAAGCATGTTAATCAGCAGCTGATCTCAGAGCAAATGCAGAAGGCGGTTCTTGGAACTAGCTGGATGTCTCAGCTCGCAGCACGTCTTCTGTCAATCTGCCTGGCATGCGGCTGAATATGTAAGATCTCAAGATGTCCACAGCCTTTCGGACCGTGCCGCAATTCAGCATCCTCCTCGCAATATACGTATAAGTCCTCGAAGCCTACAAAGCTGCTCAATGTCCGTCCCATCTAAGCCTATCTACGTAGTGGATGTAGTGGTACAATTTAGTGCAACGCGAGCACCCTCCTACAGCAGCTTGCACCTTCCAGCCAGCACTACTGCATGAACAGTGTGTCCAGCTCGAAGTTAAAAAAACAGAGCTGCGAGGCACTTTCAGCACACGGGGAGTGACAGAAGCTACTGGAACCTGGTGCTATAATAGGGGCCCACACCCGAGCATCTTTGGGTCTGTTGAAGGGGTTTACGCTACGAGCCTCTTCTGAGCTAATGCAACTTCGCATCATCGTCATTTCTCCCATGCTCGAAGTTTCAAAGCCTTCGTTGAGACATAACTGGACGGTATATGCGGCTTCGTTCAACACTGGAGAAAAAGGTGCTATTGACTTCAGCGGAAGCTGTTTCCATTGTCCGTCATTGGCATGCCCGTGCCTGACGAAAGCGCAACTTCATGGAGGATGGCGCGCACGCGATCCAGTGCAGATTCATGGGGCACCTTCATGCGCAAACTGCAACCGCGCGCTGATGCAAGATACATCATTCTCATGACCCAATCGTACTCAATGCATGTGCATGAATCATGGCTGTGCACATCTCTGCGCCGTAACCAGCCTGCATAGAAACCAGGCTCTCCGACAGCGTCGTGCCCTCCAACATTGCATCGCACAGCGATTCGTGATTTTGCATGTGAGTGCATGAACTCTGGCCATCGCAGACAATGGCATTGGTTGGCTGCCAGTAGCTTGGGTGCGGTCACCTGACAGGAAGCTCTCATCCTCGAAACCGTGCTGGTCTTTCTTTGTGAAAATACGTGTTGCAATCTGATTTGCTTCGTGCCGAGGCTCAAGGGCGTTCAAAGGTTTCATGGTCAAAGCGTTTTAGGGAACGCGTGCCAAGGACTGGGAGCATCCAGAGCGAGAGTCGAGTTCCCATCCCCCGCTGCCACGCCGACACAGAGACAATGAAGACATGCGCATGCTTGCACGCTGCGTCAGCGCAGCGAATGCATTTCTCGACACATGGGCCGAAACCACACTAAACTAAATCGTTTCGCAGGGGAGAGACAGAGAGGAGAGAGAGAGAGAGAGAAAGAGAGAGAGAGAGAGAGCGAGAGAGAGAGAGAGAGAGAGGGAGAGAGACACAGATAGAAAGAGAGAGAGAGAGAGCGAGCCAGAGAGGGAGAGAGACAAAAAAAACTGCAGCCTCTCTGACTTCAGAGGTCTCAAAAGTAGAACCTTGTAGACTTGCACTCATGAGCCACCCGTGATGAGCCAGTGCAGCAAGCAGAAGCCTGAATAATCTGCGAAGTTTTGCATTGATGTCATAAGGATATGCCAAGATCTGCACTGACTCAGATGTGGGTGCAGCTTCGACTGGACTGGCAGGAGAGCCTTGGATACTTAGAATTTCGCTGGCGCTCTGTGCTCCAGGGCCTTCCCCGAACCAGTCTGAGCCAAAGGAATACAGATGCACGTCACCAATACGCCACAGTTCTCATCGCCTCAAGCCCCTAGGCCTAGGCAGACTCGCCATCAAAGCCTCTGCTGGCTTTTTGCAGAAGACTTGCACTACTAAAAACCTAAACGGAAACAATGACACATGGGATACTTGGGCTTTCACTGGTCTGAGGAGTCTGAGGTCTGAGGGTGAAGGTATGGATGCTGCCTGTTCGCCAGCCAAGATAGGCCGAGTATGTCTCTGCCATGGCTCCAGTGTAGCCTGCCACAGCAATTTCACAATGAATCCAACAAAGTGCGCAGCTTGTTGACTCGTTGAGGTCGCGGCTTTGGATCGGGGCGTTGCCAGTGCTGAGAAGGCTCCTGCTCAGCATGTTGCAGCATGCTGCGGATGAGTGAAGCTGAGTGTCTCTTCAAAGCATTGCCCCAGGTGAGTCAGTTTTGGTTGGTACTACCACTGGTACTAATGTACTTTTTGACTGCCTGTCACTGTCTTTTATTCGATTCCACCCAAAACAGAGACCATCCCCCCTGCCCTCGCTCCCCCCTCTCCCCCCCCTGCCCCTCCAAATTAAATTTCAAAGTTCGGTCCGGCCGGAAGAATATTTGTAGGAGGTTTACTTACGCTTGCCCCTGGAATACGAAACCCACCCTTCACCTCCGGCTTGGGAACCCTAAACCCTTGAGAACCCCCCACCTAACCATCAAGAATTGGGGGGTGAGGTTAGCATTAGAGGTGATTAGTACTTCCAAGGGCCGGGCTGAGCCGTTCTAGATGCACCTGGTGCACCCGGTGCACCCCGCACCTCAAAGGCATAGATATGCGAAGCGGGACGTGGGACTTGAACAAGCTGCCGAGCCTTTGAGCAAACTCACTAGCAACATACGGTAAACCTGCACTGCGCAAACATATCAGCAAACAACACCTCCTAACACTGAACGAACAACATCTGACCTTGTGTGCGAATCAGCCTTTGTTGACCAGCACCGGTGCAGGCTGAGGTGCAGGCAGAATTGTAATCATCTCGATGACTTCCCTTTCAAGCACACTCAGAACCAAGAAGCGTGACACGTACGCATTGGCAGACTGCTGAGCAAGCTACCGTTTTAAGTATGTGCTTCACTACCAGTACACAGGCGGACGCATTGAGCAGGATCCCGAGCTCATTCGAGATGTCACTTCGCTTACGAGGCTGCCTTGCGGCCTTTAATCTTTACATGCCTTCGAAAGTATTCATCACGTCACACAGATACAAACCCGCCACACATGCGTGCACACACACACACACACACACCTTTCTTCATTGCGATGCACGGGACATTACGGGACATCATGGGACATCACGGGATGGGACCCTGGTGAGGGTCCACATATGCAATTCGAAAGTTCGAAACTGTCTGAGCTTCCATCCAGGGCCGTCCGCCAGGCGCGGTCCTGCCAAGAGTATCGAAAGAGTCTCCTCGAATACTGGCGCTGTGCATGGCTCGTGCATTATGCCGAGTATGCCGTTTGCAAGTCCTTGCCAGCTGACTCTGCATATCCGGCTGTCATGTCTTCGGCTGCGCTGCAGGATGCTGCAGGCTGCGTGGGTTACCTACACAAATCCTTGCCGTAAGGGAAGTTGAAAAAGTGTCACATGCAGGAGATGCTCGGGGTAATGCTCGGGGTAAGTCGAGGTGTTCCTCTTACAGTGCTGCTCTGCAATGAATCAGCAGCTTGACTCGAAAGAAAGCTGACCGGAGGCAACAGCTTAACGACCAACGATGCAACGGTCGACTCGGTCGACTAAGCAGATCTAAGCAGTCCGGCGGTCGAAGCCGAAACCGCGTCGTAGTGATCCTGTTTTGATTCTGCAGCATCGCGATTCTCTGAGCCGTTTAAGCGTTGTCCCTTCCTACCAGTCGCCAAAGTGGTCCGCGACTGGACAGCCAGCGAACGTTTGTCCCATCCGGAACTAAGCGCCCTTGTGCCTTCCAATTCTGGTACTCCTTTCGGGTGAAGCGAGTGAATCCAAACTTGGAAGAGACGTGGACCTTTTGTCGACCAGCAAACTTGAACTTTGCACGCCTCAAGGCCTCCACAGCGATTTGAATCTTCTCGTCTTTGGTTCGAACCGAGATCAGCACCTGGCCAATATCCACTCGTGCTGCGGTGCCATACGGCTTTCCGAATGCTCCTCGCATGCCACTCGACAGGCGATCTGCACCGGCACATGACAAGGTCTTGTTGATTCGCAGAACATTGAAGGGATGCGGTCGCATTCGAATGTGAAAGAAGTCTCTGCCGGCATTGGTGATCATGTACTTGTTGACGGCAATGCGTGCAGCCTCAAGAGCCTCGCTGGTCAGCTGCTGGTCTTCATCACACACGAGATGTGCGCAAGCCGGGTACTCATCGCAGGGCATCTTCTTCTTCCCAACATCGAAAATACGGATCTTCGGGTCAGGCACTCCTCGGCAGTATCGCGTTTTGGGGTAGGGCTTGTTCTTGTTGTACCGGTAGCACTTGGCTGGGCGCCTCCCCATGGTCCGCAGCTCTAAGGAGACTCGCGGACAAACTATGCTGCAGAATGTCCCTAACAGCCGGATCACGGATCAAGCATGATCCATTATGGTCAAGCTCACACCCAAGTCATGCCAACACAGAACTGGTCGCAGCTGCATTTTACCATCTCTCCCAGATATAGCGACCTGGTGAAACATTGTGGCACGATGTGGAACTTGAAATTGGCAAGACGGTCCGGTCCTGGCTCAAACTCGCAGGTTGTCTTCGACATATTTCGACATGTGTTGCTGGCTCTTGGATATCTATTCACTGGTGAGTCCTTTGCGCTCTAAAATAAAGAGTGGCACTCATGATGTGCATGCTGCGACATGCTGCGCTATAGGCGACCCCAATGGCTCAACCCACATCTGTAGTACCGCCGTGCTAGCAGCAGGGCATGTCATCGTCGATTGCAGCAGATCTACAAGTCAGTGGCAGTCCCTCCGGGCTGGTCCGACATTTCTTTAGCCTTTTATACCTTCATCCGCTTTTTCATTCTTTCCTGTGGCATGCAAATTGGAGTGCTTGTGTGCGCCCATTTCCTCAGACAAAGTCGACATTTCGTTGCATTCGTTAATCGGATACGCATATGCCACGTATCTGCAGGGCTCTCAAGAATGAGGAAGCTGAAGCAGCCAGTTCAATCACTAAAATCCGCACTAGCCCTCTCTGAGACTTAAAAGGTCTTGAAAGTTGAGGTCCATGAGTCCATGAGAGGTTGATAGGGTTTGCGAGTTTGGAGCAAGTTGAAGCACAAGTTGAAGCTCTGGAAACGGACGGAACGATAGCTGGCCAACCTGTTCACGCTGACCGATAGTCCGGCGAACGCAAGAGTCGGCACCTAAGCGTTGGAAAAGACAAGGAAGCACGCTTGGCTACAAGATATTTTTGCATACTTGTAACTTTCAGGTTCTGGCATTAAACTACTTAGTTGTAACTTCGTTTTCCCTTCCGGCCTGACCCCTCGAACTGGCAGTTGCTTAGTTATGGATGTTGTAGCTTTGGGGGACTGGCCACTCAACCTGTCTTCTCACAATGTCAAAATTCAAGGTCAAGGTCTTGCCACCTTCTAGGGATACTGCCCAACGTCTCCTTTCAGGGTAAAAGCATCTCCTGTGAGGGCTTCAGGTTTGCCACCCAACTTGTCGTATCACCACGCCACCTTGTTGGGTTTAGGATTGTTTAGAGCGCGCTTCCTTTCATAGCCTAATTCGGCTTTGAAACACAACATCCGCTTGTAGGGCTTAGGGTTTGCCGCGTTGTTTGCCACCCAACATTTTAGGGTTTAGGGCTGGCCGCCCAACATCTTCCTTTTATGACTTAGGTCTTGCATTTTAGGGTTTAAGGTCTTCTACCCAATATCTCCATTCAGGTCAAACAAGCTTGCCACTCAACATCTCCTTTAATCCTTTGGCGGCTTGGGGTTGCCACATTTCCGCTTCAGTTTTCCGATCCTCTTTGGGGGTTTAGGGTTTGCCACCCAACATTTGTACATTCTTTTTCAGATTTCAAGTGTTCCTTTCTGGGGTTAAGGGTTGCCACGCAACATCTCTATTTCTTTTGGGTGCGCTGCCCTGAAACACAAGAAGATAGAAGTAAACAAAGTCCAATTCAACTGACCTAACTAGAAGTCCGGGGCTGATATGGGCTTGTAGGGTTCAGGATAACAGGGAGGAAAAAAAGGAAAGCACTCACAAAAAATGAAAAAACAAAAATACAAGGAGATGGCCAGGTCAACCCCAGGTGAGCTAAACTTTAACTTGCGAGGCAGCTCGAGGGATGCCGAGGGTTGGGGTTCAGAGCGTGTCCTTGTCACACCCCAATACGGCCAGTCTCGCGCCAAGTCCTGGAGTTGCCCACCTCAAAAGAATTTCAATCAGAGTCCGCCGAACATCTCTGGAATGCCTAAGCCGAGCATCTCTGACTCCAACCCAAAGAGCCCGCAGAGAATTTCCCCAGGATATGGAGTGGCCTCCCCTATAGAGAGAATCCTGCAGAGAGCCCCGCCGGCCCAAATGGGCATCTTGGCCGGATTGATTCAGCTTTCAAGCTGGGCCCAAGCAGCAAAAGCATCTTGGCCGGATCCAGCTTTCAAAGTTGCAAGGTGTCGAGTTGGGCAGGAGTCCCCCCCCCGACAGTGAATCTGATCAAGTATCCCTGGAGCACCGACCTCCAGACAATCCCAGCGCGTCTTGGAGAATCCAGATCTGTAGGGTGGGGATGATCGAGGTACACAAAGTCAATGTTTTGATGCGGTTAGAGTCAAACACCCTGACCGGAGATGAAAGTTTTTTCTGAAAGGCTTTCGGATGAAAGCTTGACAGGGCCACCTTCTCTGATACGTGAAGCTTATAAAGGCTTTGGAATCTTTGGAACCCCTGAGTTGAGAATGTTGAACCATCTCTTGCAAGAGCCCAGCATATCACACCAGGCATTTGTCTGATCGACTGGAAGGAACCTTGACCTTGTTATGCACTCCGCTGCCACAAGTGCTGGTCCTCAGCAATCTCGGCTTTGTACACCCTGAAAATCCTTTTGAATCTGTTCCTTGGTTGACAGGTGACTGTCAGCGGATCACGCGAAGTGCCAGTGCAGCACTGTCAAGAAAGCGGTAGACGAAGTGTCTGCGAGTAGCCGTATATTTGTGGCGCTGACACCAAGGACTGTGGCAAGACTGCACCAAAACTCAAGAGCGCGCATTCAATGTGAGGAAATCGTTTGAAGAACAATTCTTTAATTTATCACAGCAAGGGGCCACATGTTTCATCAAACGCTCCAGGTCTTGAACATGGTCATACGCTCCGGAGGACAATTCCGGAAGAAGTTTGTCCAACATACCTTTGTGTTCGCGAATAAGCGGCCATGCTGAAAGATCAGCACATGAGAGCTCTGACTGTCCTAGTCGCATGTTTAGAGCACTTTGGAGCTTTCTGCAGGCGAGGTGCTGTATATCGCCTGCCTCCGAGACACCCAGCGGTATCGCCGCTTTGTCAGCAGGTCACCTACGTAAACTCCCAGAGCTCGGCAATCCTCCGCACTGCCGTACTCCAGCTCTAGACTGTCTCCTGAGCACGTAACTGGATGTAACAGACTGTAGCAGAATGCAACACGATTTTCAGCATTAACTGCTTGGCAGGGCACCTTTCAGGTCAGTGAAGCCGCGGATCATTCTTGAGGATTTCTTCTCTGGCAGTGAATCATCCGGCATTGGTACAGCCAGGAGTATCAGAGCTGAAATGAGCGAGCAAACCGCGCTGAAGATCCAGGGCAACACTATCGGATCTTGCACTGCTAAGTGCCCAGAAGCCACGGGCCCAATAAGTCGTCCGATATTCAGTGCAAATTGCTGCATGGCAAAGATGCTTCCGCGGTTTGATGGGTTTGTGAACCTTGTCAGTATAGTGCCGGAGCTTCCACCGCGCAATGCCACACCAACGCGTGAGAAGCAAAGGCAGAGCACAGTCGGCCAAACACCCGGGATGATTGCCATCAGAAGACTGAAGGCTCCTCCGAGAATGGATCCCACTACCGCACAGTTTTTCAATCCAAGCCCACGTTGAACGCGGTTTGTTCCCCAAATGCTGGTAGCCAGAGTGGCAAGTGCTGCAAGCACAAACGTAAATCCAACATGGAGGGAGTCAAAGCCAAGCTTGGCATCGAGTGTGATGGCTGTCATTGAAACTACTGTTCCAAAGCTGATTCCTTGAAAGATGGACGAGAGAGCCAACACCTTCACACCGCGTGGGATATCGTCGGGAGAGCTGCCCTGTGATGCCTCCGATGCCTTTGTGTCTGTCGACTCGCGCTTGCCTTGATCTGCAGCCCAGCTGGGTGACTCGGGCAAGTAAACGAAGCACAGTCCGGCTGCGGCCAAGGAAAGGAGGCCATCTACCAACACGGGCACGCTCAATCCAAACTTCGAGAGCCCACCACCTAAGCCTGGGCCAAAAGTCATGGCCAAGCTTGGAACAGCAGATAGTTTGGACATGTAGTCAGGGAGCACTGCCGGAGAACACACATCGCTCAGATAAACCTGGGCAGAATTGCCAACAGCCGCCCAAACTCCAGAGAAAGCTCTCCAACCCAGCAGCTCATAGTAGTTCCCAGCACATGCCTGTCCCAAGTTCGCTATCCCAGCTCCCACCAGGGACGCAAGAAGTACCTTTCTCCTTCCAAATTTGTCTGACAACTTTCCCAGAACGGGTGCACAAAATGCGGATGTGAAGCTCCATGAGGCATACAGATACCCAATCGCTGCGTTGCTGATATGAAAGGACCTCGCATAATATGGCAATGCCGGAGTTGAGATTGTGGCTGCAAGTGTGTCCATGAATATTGTGATAAATACCATCCATATCGCAGCTTGTGGGACAAGAAGGCCTGTCTCAGCGTCGTAGGTACCTTGCTGACCAGAACGTGCGGAAACTCCAGCAACTCTCTGCATCTCTCTGCATGTCTTTGAGACTCAGCGCATATGATGCACATCGTGTGGCTGAAGAAAAGCAGAATCAAGCAACAACAAAATGAGCAGCTCTGGCCAAGCTGCCTTCAGACTTCGGCACAAGTGACGACTCCATCAGCACAGAGGACAGAACTTGGGAGGAGTGTACCTCTTCTAGCGATTCAAAGACTCGAATCTAGTGGTGCTGCGCTGCGACTTAGTGCAAATAGCCTTAGCACAGCAGCCTATAGGCACACCTAGTATCGTTGAGAGCGGCAACTTGAGGGTCCCAGAGGCCGAAAATGGCCGAAGCAAGAACGTGAACACTCCCAGCAACCAAGGCTGGCCGCGCATGGCCATGCTCTAGCTTTTCGGCAGATGCGCACACATGCAGGCAGCAGGTCTGGAGAATTTTCTCTCAAACTGACAAGTTGACTCACGGCTGACTCAAGTAGTTTTCTTCCACGGTCTGGCGTCATGCGTCCTCTGTAGAACCACTTGACGCGTATCGACGCATCCACGTCTCAATATCCGGAACGCCATCCTCGCTGGCAGATGAGGTTAAGCCTTCAAAGCCCGGTGCATTCTGCAAGCAAGGGAGCTGCCTCCTCTTCGTCGTCGTCGTCATCATCCACGCCAGGCCCCTTAAGCTCCTTATTAACAATCAGTCCCGAGTGGCACGCGTTGGTTCACCCTTGCTTGACAGGAGACACAGCTCCCAATATCCAACACGAGGCATGATGCGCGAACGAAATGTTCGCTTAACCCATCGACTCTGGTGGTACTAGCAACCTCCCATCCTGACCTTGCTACACGGTTCGGGAGTGGCCGCTACAGCTTTTGATGGTGTCCAGTGAAACAGCGAAGCTTGAAATTAGAGCCTCTTGTCTCAGGAGATTTGGGGGTCTTTGGCGGCCCTGGGAGCGTCATGGAGTGTCCACTGATTCCATGATTCTAGGATGTTCAGGAGGTAGACAGTTAGGAGCCTCCCCGAGGCGCAGTTGGGTTCAAACTTGATTTCGGGCTTCGCTCGACATGTGCAGTCATGGCCTGGGGCTTCAGATTTGGAGGCTTAACGCAGTGCTGGCCAACATAGAAGTCCCCTACGACCTAATAGTATGGAGTCGCATCGCGAGTGTTTCTGGCTTGTCTAATGTCTTGCTTGAAGGACGGACCCGCCAAACATAAAATCCATTTGAGTCGCATGATACCTGCATTGGGTCTTGACATAACATTGATTATTTTTGCCATCAGGAAAGCAAAGGCAAACTTCAGGCGCGTACCGGACCGTCCAATTTCGGAAGCCCATCTGCCTAGGACAGCGAAATGCGTCAACGGCGTGGTGCCCAAACAAGAAACTCCACTTGGCGAGGATAAGCGTAGGTGGTGGACAGACAAAGATAATGGAGTACACTGCTAGCGCAGCTGCAGTGCAGTGTCAGAGAATCAGACATAGCACAGTTGCAGTGCCGAGGTCTGCAAGGCACCGTTGTCGGGGCACATTGTGGAACTCAGTCTTTGCCGGGCTGCCACGTCTGAACGGTCTGGCGGGTGGACACTCAAGTCGGAATCCTGCAGGTCAGTATGTCGAAGAAGGTAACTCAATGGATCCCTCTCTTGTCTGCCTGGTAGCCCATGGCTTCCCATCGTGCATCTATCCAGCGAGTCAGCATTTCGGACTGCGCACCAGGCCATGTGTCTGCCATGCACTGCAAGGCTGATGGTTTGCTTTGCAGCACTTCTAGTCTTGGACAGTGCCTGGGTCACCCCTTCCAACTCGCACATGTCTTCGAACCTGATCCAACACGTAATGTGCTTTCGTAGAAGTGTGTCAACCTTCAGCTGAGGCTATACAAGTCCGAGACATCCTCTGCACTTCAGGAGGAAGTTCGACCTGAACCAACGGTACTGCGAGCGCCATAAGCACTGACAAGGTCTGCTCTACGTTTGACTACGGCCAGTCCTGCAATGCGACCAAGTCGTCGGCCCTCACATTGACTTCGAGTTCGAAGCCAAGGGGCGCAACTCAACTAAAAACTGCCAAAGCTGCAAGCCAATCAATGAAAAAAGTACTCAGGACTCTGCGCTGCAAGCTGCACGAGTGCGTACCATGCCTGACACATCCAAGGCTGCCCTACACTAAACGACCATACAAGTTGCCCAATAAAAGAAAAGAAAGGGCAACTTTTGGCTTCTATCGCGGGCACAGTATAAAAGACGTCTTTTGGCCCGCGAACAAGATTATGAAAGTAAATAGCTGGTTTCGTTCCTTTAACATTTAATTTCACGCGATCGCTCATTTCACTCGCGTCGCTCACTTGTAAATTTAACAATAGAGTTCCCTTTACGTTTCGTTCACATGGTTCACGCGCTACATTCATTTCATTCATTTCACTTATAACCGCATTAATAATGTTCCCCTCACCGCCTTCATGTTCTTTCAGGCTTCTCCAGTAGTATTGCCATTAGGAAAGATACTAACCGTTCACACCCTTGACTCTGAGCCCCTGATATTATTATTGGTGTTCCTGAAGATGAAGGGAACAAGATGAAGAGAACGTGAGAAGGGAATCATGAGCCAGGAAACTAGACCGGCCGCGCAAACGATCAACTTCTTTGCAATTCACAGGGCAGGCAGCAGCCTGAGCAAGAGTCCGTGCTGCGTTCCCCATGCACCAAAGCTGGCTGCGGCAAGTCCACTAGCACCACCGATGGTCTGATCATGCCGATGTTGCAGTAATGCAGTCCGGCTCTAGCCTGCTGGAATTTCTGCTCTGGTGACTTGCGTGCAGAGTATGAAGGTGCATGTCGGTAAACCCTAATATGCTGCAGTCGATCCTCAAGGGATGTACTACAGCGATTTAGTACCTGCTTGTTGGCTGGAATAGGGCGGTGTCGAGAGCAAGTCACTGGGCTGTAGGCTCTAGACATGTCGGCTATGGTTTGTCAGAGCATCAGCTTGAGACAAAGCTCAGCGGCTGCGGCTTAGCTGTGCAATCGCCACCGGCACCTGCCGTTTCTGCGCTCCTCCGTTCTCAACAAGTGCTGCTCACAAGGCCATGCATCATTGCGCCATTGAGATGTCTACGAGTCCAGCCATGCCGAGCAAAGAAAAACACTCTCCATTACCAATAGTTTTTGCACATATTCGCAGAGTCCGGCAGAGTGTTGGGACCCTCCGGCGGTTTGCACATACGACAAGGCCTCATGGTCATCATTCACAAGCGGGCATGGATGCTCTGGTAACACAGGCATAGTCATCGTTCGGGCATGTATTCTCGGGTGACATCGTTCCGGTTGATCTGGAAATGCCAATCCAATCATCCTTCAGAAACTTCAGCACAGAATTAGCATTGCTGTTTGTGCTGCGTGGCAGCTTGGGGAACGCCTGCAGGGCCGATGGTGTGCGAGGGTGTCACCCAGAAAAACTGAAAACCGACATCATCGGCAGGAGATTCGAATAGCCGTTGGAGAGCAATCAACAATGATTCATGTAGTGCAGTCGAAAGCACCGTGAGATGTGTTTGCAAATGCGACTCAACAGCTCTGAATTCATGAGCCTCTCAGCCTCCTATTTTGGTGACATGACCGGTCGCACGCCAATAGCAGAGAGCACAATCCGCCAGGTTTCGCTGTCTTTCCTGCATGTGCTGGCACTCAGGTGAGCCAGACGACATTAATGAACTACGTGCTTGGCTCCTGGACGGGAGGCAACCCCTTCAGGGCAAGCTTCCATCCGTCAGAAGACAACACCTGAACAAAACATTAACAGACTTGACCTTCATCGTCAGCGCACACCCCGAGAGATCCTGAGAAGATCTGAGAGGGCTCAGATGCGGCCTTTCCACGCTAAGAGTATACAATGATCACAATGCTGAGCTGATCCTTGACTTCAGCTGTTATCAGCGTTTCAGACGACAGATATTCAGAGCTGCAGGATTGCACTCACCGTGACGGTGACGTAGAACAGGAAGAGACAAAGACTTGTGCAAAGGCTCCTGCATGGACACCATACTCATCCATCATTATGCAATCACTTTCGCTGCTCAGCGACTCGTAATCCGGGATCGGCCGTGCCTTGTTGCGCTTTGCGGGAACTCGCTGTTTCGTGTTCAAAGCAGGCAATCGCCTTGGATCGTTGTAGTGGCGGCTCTCTGGCAGCGACCGTACTCAGGTGCTTTGCCCGCCCTATCGACAAGCCTACTCCCCGCAACAAGGCCCGCGCACAGTCAATTCCTCTGGCTGTTGTCGTGATGTCTTCGGCACTTTGAGCGCGGCCAACATCGCCTCCTCTTCTGTCTCGACGACCTGCCCAGGGCTGCTCTCCAACAAAAAAACAATAGCGAAGCACGAAGTGGCCCCAGAAGGACTGTGAAGTGGCATGTGGCATCATCGGCATCTGTGCCTGCCGGTGATGTCTGTGACGATATCTGTGCACATGGTGATGTTCCATGACCAAGGGGAGGCCTGGGTTGGACAAGGCCTGTCCTCGCTTCTTGTGCCTCGTGCCGAGGTGGGCTGGCTGGGCTGGCTGCGCTGGCTGTGCTGACAGCTCACTGAGCTCACGCAACTCGCGCAACAAATCCAACGCAGATCTGTAGCCGCCGCTGCCGCTGCCCCCACAAGGCTCGACTCGCTCCACTTGTTTTCGAGCTTCTCTCGGCTCTCGCACGTCTCGCACCACCCAGCTGGCAGTATGGAAGCTCGCACCTCCGCGCGACGTAACAATGCTCGCAATGCTTTCATCGCTTTCCTGCTTAAGTTCACATCTCTCTGGCTTCTTTGCATCCGTCTCATCCTTCTTCATGGCTGCCTCTGCATCCCGTAGGTTGGCTTCTGCATCTTGTGGCATCCGAGGTGTCAAGGAAAGACAAGCTGATTCCTATCAGGCAGCAATGCTGCAGCAAGTGTGTCTTCTGTTTCACAGCTCGGTGAAAGATGCAGTGCAGCCAGGTTGCCCCATTGGTTGCATTGGAATCAAACCTGCAGCGAACTCGAGAGCATGAATGCCAAGGCAACGCCAAGGCAAGGCCAATGCAAGGACGCCGTATGAACCGCATTACACCGTGGGAAAACCTGGTATCAGTCAGTATCTACAGTACAGAGCATCTTGTCGTCTAGTGACCAACATTGCTTGCCAGGAGAATCTTGCAAAGCGATTAGGAAGACAGAGCGTGCAAACGGTGACGGAAACTGATAAACAGACAGTCAGATGGCAAGACAATCGGTAAGATGCTTAGATTTACCTTCCACATCTCATGAGAAAGCAAGGCGCGTTTCTGAGGCCGAAACGTCGCTCTGTGGGGTGCTTGGGAGCATCGCGTGATGTATCCGTTCGTGCGAGAAAACCGGATGCCAAAAGAACTGGGCGGCCCAAAAGGCAGTGTGCAAGTGCCAGCTCCGATTGTCTGATTGCCCGACTGTCTGCCACACGTAAACGCAATCATGCGGGACCTCGTTCTGAAACGAATGTGACCACAAACTCTGGCCATGCAACAGCAATACACACAACGCAAAATCAACATACCGAAACAGATCGAACACACACACACAACCCAATCCAAATTGAATAACAAAAATGCAAGCAAGAAGCAGTAGGGCCAAACGAAAAAACACCTTTGTGCCGCGCCAACGCGAGACGGAGCATGTCGAGTTCGGGTGCGATGTCTTGCGACTACAACTCCAAGTAGCAAAATATACTCGTTAGCAAATAGAAGCAGATGGAAGCAGTCTAGCATGCATCGGCCCCAAGATTGATGGATGAAAGAGCGCTCTTCCACTGCTCTTCCATCGCTTCCGCTGAAGTTCATGCAACAACATGTGCGCAGTATTGAGCAGGGTGGGAATCAGGCACCGCCGTCTTACGAGAGACTTTTGTGCGAACGATGTGCCGCGAAGAGTACAATGACTAGAGTGGCAGCGTGCAGCGGAATGCAGCTCTGGATGCTTTCAAAAATCCCACAGCTACCTGCAGCTACCCAGCAGCTACCTGAAGTCCCTGCCTTGATGGAAATTCAATGAAGTTCTGTTCTTGACAATCTTCGGCACCTGTATTCGAAGGCCACAGGTTTTCATGTTCACTTCTTTCCACGCATGTTCCATGCATCTTCACACCAGCCCCAATCAGTCCGAAGTACTTTCAACTGCAGGCTGCGTGACGTGGAGCTCGTTCGACAAGCCGCAATCCTTCTTCAAAGCCGGCCTTGGTTCAGGAAGTCGATTAAGAGCAAGATTCAGCTGGCGACAGTAGGTTCCGATCGTTTCGTCGAAGCGCCAAGGGCAGCCGTGCCATGTTTGCCTCACATACTCGAAATTCATGACAACTGCACCATCTTTGCCTGCAGGACCGCCCCGCCTGCACTTGGAGTCGTTGTTCCAAGTCTTCCCGTGAAGAATCCTGCCAGGAGGCGAGACAGCAACAGTTGCAAGGATCGCCTGCAAAGGCCTTGACAACTAGCTTGTTCTCTGTTGTCTCTGCTTGACAGCTTTCTCTGCATTGTGGGATAGAAAAGCAAAGCGTAGCACGGTCGTGCAATCGAGCACGCGAGGAGGAGGAGGAGGAGGGGGTCGGGCTGGGCTCACAACAACCGGCAATGAGGATGCTAATAGCATCGACTGGCGTATGGTCTGCGAGCCATGACGCGCTGCTTTTTCAACCGGAGCAGGTGCCAGGCCAAGTCATACGGGGTGGGTTACTTCTGATATTGGCATAAGCTGCACAAAGGCGCTGAATCCTGCTGTCGTTGGAACGCGCTGCCATGGAAAGGAAGCGCAGACATCACAGTGGGCAGCGCATGCAGCCGCATCATATCTTATGCTGCCCTGTCCACGGTTTGGCCAATGGACAGAACGAATGTTGAGTTGCGTCTTTGCCAACGCCTGTAACCAGCCTGACAGCGAGTCCAATTCACTGAACAAGCTAGAGCCATCAAAAGCGCTAGCCAAACCACAGCAGCTGAGGTGATTGATGTGAGCTCCGGCTCAGGCCGGAGTTCTCGCAAAGCTAGTCCTGAGGCTTCTCCGGCCACGAGAAGAGAGCACCACCACAGCGGGCCCTGCAACAGCAAGGAACCAACACCATTGCGACCATTCCTGACTAATGGCGGAGGCTCCACAGCTGCGCGTTGCAGGGCGCGAAGCGCCAGCAACAAGAGAAAGAGCGTAACCCACTTCTGCTGAACAGCCAAGCTGAAGGCCTCCAATGCAACAAGGACTGCGTAAAACCAAGTGTTTCCAGGGCGCCACGGAGTCTCCCCCAGGGGGCTCTCTCCAAGGCCTTCCAGTTGAGTCGCCACGTTTGGTCCGTCTGGTCCGTTTCCGTTTGGTCCATCCCGGGTTACCCGGGTCCGGGCCATCCGGGACCGGTCCAGCACATTCAAAATCCCGCGACAGCAATGACAGGAACCCAAACTCTGCAAACTCTGCAACCTTGCCATACTCGCCCGAAGCATTCTTTCCAACAGCCCCGCGGCCATGATGAAACTGTGAACAACGAAGAGAACCAGCGTCGGCTTTCGGGAGTACAGCGCTAGCGGGCACGCAATGAGAGCAAGCAACAGGTGCAGAGGACCATGTCTCGGATTGCACAAGCTGCGCCTACTCTGCCATGCTCGGTCTGCCAGCTCCAGCACCTCGGTTCATTCGCTTCATATGGTTCATATCGCCCTCGTTTGCACTGTATTACCGAGTGAAAGCATGCGAAAGCTAACTGTCTTTCTGTTGCAACTGGCCCTGCCATCACGTTACATCTAGCCGTGGTGTCCCTAAATGTGAAGCATGATTAGCATGATGTGGCTTTACATGCTATGCCCCGCTATGCAGTATGACGTCGAAATTTCCAGTGTTGCTCCATCAGCACAGGATCCCTGCCCACGTGCTCAGCCCTTTCAAGGAGCTTGACTGCGTAATCACGCAGTAGTTCATTCGACAGGTACGCATCGGTACGCTGATGACAACCTTCCGTGTATTCCGTGATGTTCCATGTCTGTGGTGTACAGTAGATCACAGTAGCACTGTTTGAGCAGCCTTGGGCCCTGCATTGCGCTGGTGCGGCTATTCTCGGCGAACCAGGAAAGGGAAACGACAGGACAACCAATGCAGAAGCTGGGCATATATGAGCATTCTGCGACCTTCTGAGCCGCATAGGAACAACAAGATCAATAAGTTGAAGCCGGTGTATATACTCATTGCAAGAAGCACTGGGATGTTAAAGCTGAAGCCAGGCAACCAAAAACAGTGGGGCACTGACCAAGCAGCCCAACATGAGAGCTGCCTCCTTGCAGCAGTCGGAAGGTTTGTACCATAAAAGCAGCTGCAAGAGCGGCATGAGGGCCACGAGGCAGACAGGCAGGAAGTAGCTGAAGGGCAGGTCTCCGTAGACCCAGCGGCCGCCGAGCAAAATCACAGTGGCCAGAAGCTCTGCAACATGACGTGCCAATCTCCACGTGTCTGTGGTGAAAACCAAAGATCCCAAAGGATTCTGAGGCGCAGGTCGGCTGGGCGGCAAGGATGCCAGCAGTACTGCAAGCGTGTGAAACAAGAAAACTGCCAGGAGTATGACTGCAACGTTCGCCGAGAGCCATTGCAGACTAAAGACATGCGGGCATTTGGTCATCGGCTGTCTGCAGAAGTGCACCAGCAGCGTGCCCAGAGCGATGAAGCGTAAAGCCTCACCGACAGTAAGCAGGAGCTGATGGCCGAAGCACCGCGTCACCTGCCGCATCAAGACGCGAGGGCCGGGTGCGCAGTCCTGACCTCCATACCTAGGTCTTGGTCTTTTAGTGAAAAGATGCCAAGGAAAATTGAAATAGCCCGGAACGCAAAGAGTGCAAAAAAGCCTAGTATGGGACGGGTGCACTCTTATTGCTGCCGAAGGCGCGGGGTGCGGCAGACGGGGCAGGTGGGAAAGGCCTCGGAGGCCTCACCGGTCTCAGCAGCGCCGCCGTTGGGACTTCGGAGGCTCCCGCTTCGGTGGTGCCGGATCCAGGCTTCCACGCACTTCGCATGGACGCCGGCCATGGAGCCCCGGCACCGACACGGCCGAACCAAGGGCTCGTTCCCCACGTCGCGGCAAATCCAGCACTCCAGCAACGCTGTCCTTGCAGGGCTATGCAGGGCTCAAAGGCATGCTATGGCTCAAAAAAAAGCCAAATACTTAAGATATACAAGAATGTCACAGTATGTCTCATCACGACTCACTGCTTTGCAACATTTTGCGCTGCGCGCATCCGCATCAGTCCTGGATTCCCACATCCTCTCCGACAAAGAGTAGCTGCATCAACAGACGGTTTCAAAGGTTTTGAGCCCAATCTGCTATGCAACGACAAACGATTTTCCAGAACTAACTAATAACTAACAATATCAAATGTTGGATGTATGCGTGTATCTATATGTACATATCGCGTAGGGTTTTGCAACAAACTATAACTGGAGTGCCTAAGCTCGACCTGCCATTAAAGCTGCTGCTGCTTTCGCGCAGAGACATCAACCGTCTTGTTCAATCCCAGCTTGCGGGTACCCCCCTTTGAAGCAGCTCACGCAAAGGCTCACGCACGCTCAAAACTCAAGAATCGGGTCCCTTTGTTGAGGACATTGCATGGGCTTGGGCGGCTTGCCATCTTGCCAGCCTCTTGATGCTTGCCATTTGGCACGTCGCCGTCGCCATGCAAGTTTTGGCAAGCATCACGGGCAGCCTCGGACATGTTAAATCACACTCGGAGGCTTCAACAAATCGTGCGTGACTCCGCAGCATGTCGCAACGCCGGAAACGAAAAGAGTCTGGAACATTTTGGAACCCGGCTCCGCCATCTCCGCTCTGTCATCTCGCGCGAGCGCCGGGAGGGGCGCGAAAGCCTCTTCAAGTACTACCAAGTACTTTCCTTTAGAGGAACTGAAATGGTAGCTTCGGCTACAATTTGAGTATCAGTCAAATCACACGACAAGAAAGCGACGCCGGAAGATGTCGTTCTGCTGACCTTGCCTCTGTCCATGGCTCTCGCATGCTAGCCAACAGCTGAGCCAAACTCTACCTACCTTGAACAATAGGAACGAACGCCGTGCCCATGCTTGTCTGGTAACGTCTTTTGACTCTTCGGACTTGCCTATAGCTCTAACTCTTGCAGCAGCAAAGCGAACGTGTTTTTGGCCGCCGAGACATGTTGGCACACAGCCACGCTTCAGCTTCGCCTTGAAAATCGGGGTGAGCTCCTCTTGCGACTCACAGGGCTCGCCGCCCTCTGCGAGGACTCTTCACTGTCCTGAACAGTCACAACATTTCACAACCGTTCACATGAAAGGCAGGGACCAGATGTCCCGAATTTACTTCGCGATCGGCGAGCCTCTGATGCCTCCTTGTGTGCAGGCCTACCTGCTGTCAATTAAAGTGTTGAGGGCTGCAATGCTGCAAGCTTGCTTGCTGTACGAACGAAGGATGACGAGAACAATTCGTTCTGAGGTGATGACTCCTCTCGCTTTTTCGTGCGTGGATGAACTCCTCGATGTTCGGATCCTTCTCGACAGTCACCTGATTCATCGAAGCACTAGCTTGACCCACTCCTGACCAGTCGGCACAACAGCCCATGCCGCCAACAAGCCCTAAGACGCAAGCGCGCAGCTTGACTTTCACGGTGAACTTCTTCGAAGTTCGTCGCCGCGTTTTCTGGTATTCCTTTAAGCACCAGAGGCGGCGGTTGTTGCGGCCTCGGTTCAGCAAGGCATAGCAAGACCCCAGCTTCATCACTGAATCATGCCTGGCTCGGATTCGCTCGGCTCATGGCATATGAGCTTGCCGCTGACTTTCATCGCTTGCAACTTCAGGAATGGGCTGGTCTTTGGATTGGCCTGGACAGCGCATCGGCGCAGCACTATGCTGGGTACACCACCACGCATCCCACACATTTAGCATCACATTCGGCAAATGCTAGGTACAATGAATGCTGTCCTTCTGCTGTGTCTGCTGTGTGAGCTCTGAAAGCTCAGCCTGCCTGACCGGTGTAAAGATCTTCGATGGTCGTCTGCAACTTGCGACCGCAGGTGAATCTTTCGCCAATGGTGTCTTGCGAAAACTCAACTTCATCGACAGGAACTTCGGCATCATATTCGCGAGTTTCGCGGCGCCTGCGCTGCTTGCATAAGGGCCACATTCGGAAGACCGTGCAACTGAAGTCATGTGAAGTCGTCATGGAATGTCATGGAGATTCTTGGATAACCCGCTTCAGCAATTGCCTTCGACGCTTTTGCGGAGGAGTTGCATTTTCAGTCTCTTCATTCCTGACCCCAACCGAACAAAGCAACGATCGCAGACTTGTGAGAACAGGCCAGGAGTCCAGGAGCCTCGCCACCGGGGAAACCTGGGCAACCTGGGCAACTTGTGGCCTGCAAAGGCGCTTCAAGGCACTGGCTTGGACGGTGCTACTTGTGCTTTCACGCGACAAGTTCATGGGCCTGTCAGGCAATACGTCGGTGAGGTCTCCTGCAATGAAGACCTTCAAGCTTTGGGCTGCCTGCAACAAAATCGAAGAAGAGCCACCAAAGCTGCTGCATGCCGGGACAGTAACACACAGCGCATGCCTGACGGTTGAACTTTGGGTCTCTAAACATGTCCTCCACGTGCAGAACCTCTTGAACTTTCGCAATGTTTAGTGTTCATTTTTCGTGTTCATGAACTGGACAAACGGACAAACACCCTCAAAGAACATTTCCAGGAGCCCGGCCGTCTCCCAGATCTGAGTGACCATGGTCCTCCTCATTTCGGAGCTCAACCTGCGAAACACCAAATGAAACATGAATGCATGGAGCAACAGACCATCTGAGTCCGACACATGGGGAATACGAACTTGGCAGCCTGGAAGACCTTATGTGCACATAATGTAGAAGTGCATACATGCAATAGGTATATTCGTACAAGACATTTTATTGTTGGTACCCCCTGTTTAGATGAAAGAAACGGCACGCGCGGGCCTTGAAAAATCTTAGGCCAGAATAAGCGGGCGGGGAAGGGCCTTGGGAGAGGAGGGGCTAGCGGCGGCTAGCGGCTGGCCAACTCCCCCCCCTCGCACGCGCACAGAGACACACGCACGCACGAGCACACACAGACACAGACACACACACACACACACACAAAAAAAAAAAAAACAACCAACACACGCACGCGCACGCACGCGCACGCACGCGCACTCACGCGCACGCACGTGCACGCACGTGCACTCACGCGCACTCACGCGCGCGCACACGCGCACGCACGTGCATTCACGCGCACGCGCACGTGCACTCACGCGCACGCGTACGCGCATGCAGACACGCGCAGACACGCGCGCACACACACACACACCCACACGCACACGCTCACGCTCACGCTCACGCAGACGCACACACACACACACACATTCACACACACCCACACCCACACCCACACCCACACCCACACCCACACCCACACCCACGCCCACGCCCACACCCACACCCACACCCACACCCACACACACACACACACACAAACACACACACACACACACACACACACACCCACGCACACACACTCACTCACTCACTCACTCACTCACTCACTCACTCACTCACTCACTCACTCACTCACTCACACAGAGACCCGGACACACACAGACACACAAAATCACACAAAAAAACAAATAGAACACACAAACACGCAAACACGCAGGGACACGCAAGCACACGTCGCCGAAAATGAACTTGGAAGCAACATGCCCAGCAACATTTTGTTTTGGTATGGCGGATTGCCAACACTCGAACTAGGGCTGCAGAATGCTGCAGAGCTCAGACTTCTTTCTCACAAGCCGAGAACAAAGTCCCTTGTGACATGGTATCGTATTTGGAGCGTTCCCCAGGCACTGCCTGATTGAGACAACTTCCGGCTTGCAGAACGACTTTCGCATCTACCGAGACACAGACACTGACACACAGAGACGCTGGGCATCGTGCTGTTGACAGATGAGAAAATATCTTGTCCTCAGTTGCTCAGAACAATCCTGCATTGATTGGCATGCCGCGACTTCGCCCGCTTGTCGAAACAGATCGAAACAGCAAAGGCTGAGAACTTGGCCGGAACCTTTGCGGGCAATTCCCCACCACTTTCACACGCTGCACGGGAGCCTGTCTCGCGTCAAGATGCTTGGACCCAGGCGAGGCTGCAATGGCTGCACAACATGACTGGGCAACGAGCGTAAGTCCAGGAGTAGTCGACGCACAGGGCTAACAAACATTCTGTCCTTGCAGGGGGGGCACATCTGCAGCACATACAGTAGAGTCAGGGTATTTGACTTGCAAATACTCTTGCAATCGGATCAGTACTGTGCATCTTCCTGAATCCTACATTATGTCACGGATTGTCACAGTGAACAAGTGCAAAGCACGCTTCCTCCAAGGTCTCCTTGTACGGATCCCCTTCCTCACACACCGGACCGAGCTCCTTGGTCAATGCACTCACAGACGGACTCCGAATGGACATGGAGAAACACAGAGATTGAGGATATTTGAGGGGTCCGCATACACTCGTCGAGCTCTCCATCTCCATCCCTGCAGGCCGATCTCTGCGTGCTTGTTGCAGTGATTTGCAGTGTTAGCACGTGCTATAGCAAGTATGTCTCAATGCCCCCTCCTCCTCGTGGGGGCGGTGGCCCGGTGGCGGATTCAAAGCATATTGCTCATATGCCTTGTTTTCCTTCTGCTTCAGCCACTCCGGCACGTTCGGAAGCTGTGTGTAATCATGCTGCGGGACTCCAGCGCGACGTAGCGGCATCCGCTTGGGCGCCTCAGGTCTTAGCCGGGCAAAGTGTGAATCATTCAGTGCGATGCTTGACATGTCAATGTACAGATCGAACTGAGATTATAGCAGGATGCCGCTGATGCAAGATCGGAGGAGCTGCCTGGCCATGTCCATCTGAATCTGCATCTGCACTCAGCTCTTTGGATCTCGTTGGAACTTCGCCGGCACCTTGCGCTTCGGAGGAAGCTTCTTGTCCTCAGAGGGTGCCTGACCGACTGTTAACATCGTCATGTCCGCTTCTGAACAATTGAAGCTGCTAAAGGGCCCTTCCAAGCGCGCGGCCTTTGAGGTGGGCGCTGGCAACCCCGTTTCTGCTTCGGCTTCCTCCATGCCAGCGCGGAGGTCAGGCGAGGGAGCAGTCTAGCGGTTGAGTGTCCAGGATGTATCTACCAGGACTTCATGCATCTTCCAGATACCGTACGTCTTCCCTGGTAGACTTTGCTCATGCAGACTTATTGTCTGCTGCAACAAAAAGTTTTCGCACCTTGCGTCGCCTCTTCGCCTCAAGTCGCGCCCAATCCTGCGTCCAGTGCTGGGTACCCTACTTGCAAGTTGCGAGCCGCCAGGGAAGCGTACTGCTCCAGCGTCACTGCTCTCGCTGCACATGCTGCGAAGCCTCCCCGTCATCCTCCTTAGCTTTGGATGTCTCGAGCACAGCTTCTTCCTGTGCCTCTTCCTGTGCCTGGGCTGCAGAGATGCGGTCAGTGGGCCACAAGGCCACAAGCACCTATCCGCAAAGATAGAACTTGCGCGGCATCCGTTCTCAACAACTGCAAACAAAGCATCGAGCGTGTGGGGAGATGACTCCAGGGGCACTCCAAGGATGCACCTTCAATATCCTTCAATCCTGAGGAGGCCTGAAGATTCCTGGAACATCCTCAGGAAATTTTGCAAACCTCAATGTTCGAGCATGTTTGCATTCAGCGCTGTGCTTCGCTTTCGGGGCGAGGGTTCCACCATGGGACACCACACACACAGAGACAGACAGACAGATAGACAGACAGACAGACAGCCAGGCAGCCAGGCAGACAGACAGACAGACACACACACACACACACAGAGAAACACACACACACACACATACATACATACACACACACACACACACATACATACATACACACCCACACACACGCACAGAAACACACACACACACACACACACATGCGCGCCCCAAATCCTAAACCCTAAACCCTAAATCCTAAACCCTAAACCCTTTGCCTCCTCCTCTTCCTTCAGCTCATCCTTGACCTTGGGCTCCTGCTTCGCCTCGTCCTTCGGTTTATCGTTCAGGGTTTTCGGGTGTAGGGTTTTTAGGGTTTCAGGATTCTAATCGCTCACACTCGGACACGCCAAGATTTTAGGGTTTAGGGTTTACGGTTTGGGATTCAGGACCTTTAGGGTTTTAATGGGTTTTATGTAGTCGGGGCCTGTCACGCACTGTACTGCATGTTTTCGCCCCGAACATCCAGCAGAAAGCGTCCTTCACCTCCGCCTGCTCTTGCTCCTCCTCCTCCATGGGCATGTCGTCCCTCGGTTTTGCCTGATTGGCAGTTGAGTCGAGAACAGGGAACTACGGAACGCTCGAGGCCCTCGAAACTCTGTAAGATTTGAACCCTAAACCGTAAACCTAAAGCCTAAACCATCAGCCCTCATATGGATCCCTCCACAGAAAGTGCGAGAACGATGACATGGAATTTGCTGTTGAGGGGGCTTCGTCCCAAAGGGGCACTGCCACGTACGCGATCGTACGCGCTTCCTTGATTACCGCTAGGGGCTTAAATAAGGGGTTTCGACATCTCCTGGTGCCAGCACGACAGAAGCCTAGTCCCTGAAGACACTTGAATGCTCTGCGAGCAGAACGATGAGGACCATTTTGCATTCAGGCTTGGGGCTGGGGTATGCCTTCCGGGGAGGGGAGGGGGGCTCCCTTCACCCTACACAAGGGTCCACTAACTTATGAATAAAAGGGTGCCCTTTTTGGTTTTAACCACCCCCCACCAGACCCACCAGCTCCAGCCCGACCCAGTTTCGTGCGCTTGAATCCGGCAGCACTGGCGGTAGCCATTTAATCGGGCAGCGCCATGCCCCTTGCGGGCTGGCGCGGACCTGGCAAGACGAAGTTTCTCCCGTGCCATGTGCGGAGCACAAATAGGCCAGACAGCAGCGCCGCAGACCCCACCCATTTTGGTGTTTTTTTGCGTAATTTCGGGGTAGCCACGGACGCCCCCCAAAGGGAGCGCATCATGAGCATCAGCGGCTTCAGTCCGGGACCCCGGGCCACCCGTCAGGAGCGTCAGCGGCCTTGGATTCCCCAAACCATGCGCATCATGACAGCGGCTCCAGCCTTGGGTCGCCAGCCTGACATGATGGCCCATCGGTAAATAATGTGGCTGGGGCCCCCGTGGCTTGGTTGCAGCTGGGTTTTTAAGGCATTTTTAACCATTCTAAGGTTGCAGCTTGGGTATAAGGCATTCAAGTTTCCAGGTCTTTGAGGTCATGGCTTTGACATCATCGACCGCGGCGCCAAACCTGTGTGTTCCGGCTATGAAAGCCTACAGCTGACGACCCTGTCGTGTCACGTCGCGTGCATGCGGGCGCGCCCCCGGTTTGCAGCGGCTTTGGCGGCAGCCTTTGAAATGTAGAGATGGTCTCTCCTCGAGCTTGTGCCTGCGCTGCCCGCTTATGGGAGCAGCCCCTATCGGGCAGCGCCATGCCCTTGCTGGCTGGCACGGACCTGTATAACACGGGGTTTATCCCGGGCAAATCGAACTATAGCCTTGTGCGTAGCACAAATAGCCACGGACGACCGCTAAAGAGCGCGCCTTGGCTTCCCCCCAAAACCGCGAATCATGAGCATCAGCGGCTCCAGGCTTGGGTCACCAGCCTGACATGATGGCCCATCGGGAGATAGCCTTTCCCTCGCCGTGGCTGGGGGTCTTCGTGGCGTGGTTGCGGGTTTTCGTTTGCAGAGGCATTGGCGGCAGCCTTTAAAAACATAAAAAGAGATCAACTCTCCTCGAGCTTCTGCATGCGCTGCCCGCCCATGGGCGCAGCCCCTTAAATAAATAAATAAATCAAAAAATGATACATATATATATATATATGTAATATGTATAATATGTATAATATGTATATATATATATATATCTGTATATATATATGTGTACATACATATATATATATATATGCATATACGTGAACCCCCCCCCCACTAACAAGCCGTGACACAAGCTGTCTATAGGGTACTTAACATGCAGTCCATTTCATCTATGTCGCGCGAATTTCAGCCGGCCTTGGTGGGCTCCGTCTCAGCTTTGAACTGCAGGCCCTGGGCACCCCATACTTTACTTGGCGCGGCGGTTTCAGGGATTCTGTTGTTGTGACCTGCCTAGGTGACTGGGTCACACCTTCGTGGATTGAGAGTAGAACCCAGGGTCCGTCGTCAGGGCGAAAAGCAAGACTCAAGAGACAACATGTGGTATGAAACGACCTCCACATCGTGCGTCCGTGAAGGAGAGGAATCGGTTTTCAGCAAGAGACAAGAGAGGTCTGGACAGTTGCTTATTGCACGAACACGGTCCCCTGAAGGTCCGAAGGCCCGATATCGCCCGACAATCTTCAGCCCGTACGTGACATTGTTTCTTATGGTTCTTAAGGGAGGACGTTCATCGGGAGGGGGGGGGGATTAGGACCTAGGGCGCCTTAGGGAAGCTTAGGGAGCCTTAGGGAGCAGTGGGGAGCAGAGGGAACCTTGGGTTACATGCCCCCCTTGAACCCCCTTCCCTTCAGGACCTAAACCCTAAACCATAAACCCAATATCCTAAATTAAACCCTAACCCAAAACCCAAGACCCAAAACCCTAAACTACAAGTACACCCAGGCGGCGCTCCACCACTACCCGAGCTGCTGGGCTGCTTTGGGGCTGCTAGAGTGGCTCATGGGTTCAGGGTTTCAGGGGGTTTGGGGTTTAGGGTTTCAGGGGGTTTAGGTTTCAGGAGGTTTCGGGGGGCTTCGGGGGTAGGGGTTTAGGGTTTCGGGCTTCACCGGGTGGGTTTAGGGGTTTGGAGTCTGAGTCTGGGTGTGGCGACCCACCGTGGGGGGCTCGGAGCGTGGGCGATATTTTCGCGAGTTGAGTAGTGCTTTGTAAGAATTTCGGTTCCACCCTGTGTAACCTAAACAGGCTCCATACTGTGATAGAAACCCCTTCGCATGTTCCCCCTTATGCTAACAGTCCCCAAAAGGTACGCGCCAGTTGCGGGACCTGCCTCACTTGCTCTTTTCTTGATGCTCTGAATCTTTAGGAGCACCTCAGGGGCGAAAGTCCCGGAGTATTGGGACATCCCTAAGCCCTAAGCCCTAAGCCCTAAGCCCTAAGCCCTAAGCCCTAAGCCCTAAGCCCTAAGCCCTAAGCCCTAAACCCTAAACCCTAAACCCTACCACCTAAACCGAACCTGGGCATGCTGTGCATGTGCAGTTGACCTTTGCCTCTCTAGCAGCAGCTGAGGTTTAGGGTTTAGGGTTTAGGGTTTAGGGTTTAGGGTTTAGGGTTTAGGGTTTAGGGTTTAGGGTTTAGGGTTTAGGGTTTAGGGTTTAGGGTTTAGGGTTTAGGGCTTTTCGTTTCGGAAAACCTTACAACCCATCTCAATCTATATGACTATATGAATATATTTTGAATAATCCATATAATGCTTAACATATCCCCAAAAGTCGGTGTCGTCAGGCGGGTTTTTTCTCAGGTCTTGTGGCCGGAAATCTGGGTTCTCTCTGCGGTCTTGTGGCCGGAAATCTGGGTTCTGTCTGCGGTCTTGTGGCCGGAAATCTGGGTTCTGTCTGCGGTCTTGTGGCCGGAAATCTGGGTTCTGTCTAAGTAGAATCTTGGATCTACTCATCTGAAATCTGGGATTTGTCTGCGGTTTATTACATTAAAAACTTGGTTCAGATCGCTGAAAACCGGGATCCGCCCTGCAAGTTTCGGGGCTTGACCTTGTCATGAATCCTGAGAAATCTTGGACTTGCTCCTAGAAATATTGGGCTTACTCCAGCCTCGTAAAAGATTGTTATCGAAACTCTTTCCTGTTTTGTTCTCGATGGAAGCCAGTCTGGCGGACAAAACTGCTTGACTTAACGATGCTACTCGCATCTGACTCTCCCTCCAGCCCCTCCACCCCTCCAGCCCCCTGCAGCCCCCTCCAGCCTCCAGCCCCTCCAGCTCCGGCCCTCCAACCCCTCCAGCCCCTCCAGCCCCTCCAGCTCCAGCCCCTCCAACCCCTCCCCTCCAGCCCCTCCCCCACCCCCCCCCCCACGCCCACCCCACCCCCCCCCGGTCGACCCGACCAGTTACCCGACCGGTTACCGACCATTTACCCACCGGTTACCCACCACGGGTCCTGGTGAGTGGGGGGGTGCGGGAGGGGGGGGGGGGGCGGGGGGGGGGGGGGGGCGGGGGGGGGGGCGGCGGGGGGGGGGGGGGGGGGGGGGGGGTGGGGGGGGGCGGGGGGGGGGGGGGGGGGGAGAGGGGCCCGGGGGAAGGGGGGGGGGGGGGTGCGGGGCGGGGGGTGCCCCAAAAGCCAAAAGCGGCAGGTCGGGAAGCGGGTGGGTTTGGGGGGGGGCTGGGCAAGGGGCCCATGTTTTCGTGTCAGAAATTAGTCGAGTTTTTCTTTTCGTGGTGTTTGGTTGCCACTTACAACTTACAACCTAGGCATGGGCGCGCGCGCCAGGATCTTTCACGAAGAGACACCGCCTGTATATGTTTCGGAAAAGTTGAGGAGGGTGTTTTCAATCCTACGGCGCATGGATCTTGCTTCGGGGGCACTGCGCTCTTCCATGATTTTTTTCAACTCCGATGAAAACTTCTACCCGTGACCGACGCTTCATGGACGTGTCCAGAAGTTTTTGTCGCTCTAGAAGGAGCTAGGCTACACCTGGTTGCACAATAGCGCGACCCACAATTTCTTGTATATGACACTGACTTCCTCAGCGCCAGCCGAGGCCATGTTTCTTACGACCAATCCCGACTTACGATGTCTCAAGACCAAACATGACCCTCCCCAGGCCCCAACCCAGATGTATTTTTTCTACTAGGTTTGCTTCGCAAAACGCAAGCCGAGACCATATTTTTAAAGACCAATCCCGACTTCGGACGCCTCAAGACCAAACATGACCCTCCCCAGGCCCCAACCCAGATGTATTTTTTCTACTAGGTTTGCTTCGTAAACGCAAGCCGAGACCATATGTTTAAAGACCAATCCCGACTTCGGACGCCTCAAGACCAAACATGACCCTCCCCAGGCCCCAACCCAGATGTGTTTTTTCTACTAGGTTTGCTTCGTAAACGCAAGCCGAGACCATATTTTTAAAGACCAATCCCGACTTCGGACGCCTCAAGACCAAACATGACCCTTCCCAGACCCCAACCCATATATGATTTTCCATGAAAACCCAAAAGATATGTTAAGCATTATATGGATTATTCAAAATATATTGATGTAATGTGTATTTGCATTCCTTCGGTGTTGCCCTTTCTGAGCTTACAAGGCATGAGGTTTTAGAGCGAACAGAGAGGGTGTTGGGCCTGGTGGGCGGCTTGGAACACCTCGATCTTGTCAGCCTGCACCGGCCAGGCGAGACACGGCCCTTGGGATGTTCCCCCTTATACTTTTGAACTAGAATCCCTGTTAAGACTTGAAGAACTGCTGGTATACGGGGAACATCCCAACACGGCCCCCTAGACCCGAAATCGGGGTGTCGAGTGGCTTTCCTGAAGCCGGCAACCCACCCAAAACAATGCTGACCTGGAGCGACTGCCCTGCAACATCCACGGCGCAGTCGTCCGCAGATGGCTCCTGCCCGGTCAAAGGTTCCCAAGCGCTCGAAGCATCTTGGAAAGCTCTCGGGGCCCCTTTGTACGCCCGAAACAGCCCAGGGCCTTCGGGCTAAGGAGAGACATGTACTAGAGGGACATGGCGTCACAACACCAACAGACAAAAGGGATTTTTAGACCCTAAACTGGGGTGGGTTCTATAGGGATTTCTCGAGCGCCTCTTTTTACTGTATGCGGTCTGCAGAGAAATCATTCCTATCCCCACAGCATCAGATCTCCGCACATGGTTTGCGTTGTTGCCTCCTCCTGTCTGCGCTTCTCTGCGACGGCCTGCGTTGCCATGCATCTCAGTATTCCGAAAACAAAACACACACACACACACACAGACACGCAGAGCTTCCTCAAACTGCACAGGCGTTCTTCTTCCTGCTGAGCCAAGCAAAATCGAAATGCAGCATTGCAGACCAGGCCATGGGCAGGGATAACCCAAACGGGTGAGAAACATTCGCACAAGTTTGGCTTCACTTACTTGCTGTTCTGACTACACACTGCTACCAACAGTCTACCCGACAGGAGCCCCGTCTGTGACACCTCTTGTCTTCGCCGTGCTTCCTATGCTAGTCGAGCGCTCTCCTACAGTCTGCTCGAACACGCGGAAAAAAGGCAACGCGTTCTCACACACAGGCCCAGTACAGGTTGCGCCCAATGATGTTGGGCCCTATTACTGTGGCAACCTACCCCTTCGCCTGAACAGGCTTCGGAAGGTCTGTAAACGGACCCCAGATTCGCCTCGGCTTCCTGCCGAGAAGCGTCTGGAACAAGCAGACCCGGATCGGGCCTCCTTCCCCCTAACCCAACCCTTCCCCCCATGCAAAATTTTCTGACGCCACCCCCCCGCCCCCCCCCGCCCTGTGGGACCCCCCCCAATCGCTTGGAGGAGCTGCAACCTTCCTCCCCTTTTTTTGCGAAACCCTCCCTTTCCTGTCCTGGGGCCGGCCCGGCTGCCGAGGCGGCGCGCGCAAGCGTTTACAATTACGTATGATTTTCTTTAAGGGGTTGGTCCAGGAGCCTGCCTGACCTCCTACAATAGGCATTCTTGCTGGACCCGCGTTTATGCCGCATTGCCGTGTTTTGGCGCCTTGCGTCTCTTCTCCTCCTCTAGTCGTGCCCTTTCCTGCCAGAGAGCAGAGTAGTCATCAGGCTAAAGGCCAAAGGTTCTGTGCTGTGGCCTGCCGATCCATACAATAGCGATTGTCCGCGATTCTGCTGCGTCTACCAACCCACCTCCGCCTCCGCCTTGGATTTCTCGAGCGCAGCTTTTTCCTGTATGCGGTCCGCAGAAACTCAGCGGGCCACACAACCCTATCATTCCCATCCCCACAGCATCCCGCAGCTTCAACGTGCAGATCACGCATGGCTCTGTGCGCTTGCAGCACATCCTGCCCCGCCTCCTGTCTGCGCTTCTCCGCGGCTGCCTGCGTTGCCATGCATCTCAGTATTACGAAAACAAACACACACACACACACACACACAAACACACCCACACACGGACACACAGAGCTTCCTCAAACTGCAAAGGCGTTCTTTTGAAAACTCCAACCTCCTCCGCTTCTTCACGAGCCTTTTCCCGAGCCGCTTCTTCCTGCTGAGCCAAAATCGAAATGCAGCACTGCAGACCAAGCCATGGGCAAGGATAACCCAAACGGGTGAGAAACATTCGCATAAGTTTGGCTTCACTTACTTGCTGCTCTGACTACACACTGCTACCAACAGTCTACCCGACAGGAGCCCCGTCTGTGACACCTCTTGTCTTCGCCGCGCTTCCTATGCTAGTCGAGCGCTCTCCTACAGTCTGCTCGAGCACGCGGAAAAAAGGCAACGCGTTCTCACGCACAGGCCCAGTACAGGGGCAGGGCAGTTTCGTCCAAATACCTGTCTAGGAGAGGTTGCGCCCAATGATGTTGGGCCCTATTTACTGTGGCAACCTACCCCTTCGCCTGAACAGTGAAGGATAGTGAAGGCTTCGGAAGGTCTGTAAACGGACCCCAGATTACGAATGATTTTCTTTAAGGGGTTGGTCCAGGAGCCTGCCTGACCTCCTACAATAGGCATTCTTGCTGGACCCGCTTTTATGCCGCATTGCCGTGTGTTGGCGCCTTGCGTCTCTTCTCCTCCTCTAGCCGTGCCCTTTCCTGCCAGAGAGCAGAGTAGTCATCAGGCTAAAGGCCAAAGGTTCTGCGCTGTGGCCTGCCGATCCATACAATAGCGACTGTCCGCGATTCTGCTGCGTCTACCAACCCACCTCCGCTTCCGCTTTGGATTTCTCGAGCGCAGCTTTTTCCTGTATGCGGTCTGCAGAAACTCAGCGGGCCACACACACACACAGAGAGAGAGAGAGAGACAGACAGCTTCCTCAAACTGCACAGGCGTTCTTCTGAAAACTCCAACCTCCGCCGCTTCTGCACGAGCCTTTTCCCGAGCCGCTTCTTCCTGCTGAGCCAAAATCGAAATGCAGCACTGCAGACCAAACCATGGGCAAGGATAACCCAAACGGGTGAGAAACATTCGCACAAGCTTGGCTTCACTTACTTGCTGCTCTGACTACACACTGCTACCAACAGTCTACCCGACAGGAGCCCCGTCTGTGACACCTCTCGTCTTCGCCGCGCTTCCTCTGCTAGTCGAGCGCTCTCCTGCACTCTGCTCGAACACGCGGAAAAAAAACAGCACAACGTGCAGGGTTCTGACTCACAGGCCCAGTACAGGCGCAGGGCAGTTTTGTCCAACTACCTGTCTAGGAGAGGTTGTGCCCAATGATGTTGGGTCCTATTTGCTGTGGCCCCCTGCCCCTTCCCCTGCACAGTGGGAAGGCTTCGGGAGGTCTGTAAACGGACCCCAGATTCTGCATGGTTTTCCCAAAGAATAGATAAGGAAGGAATCAGAACAGCCTAAGTGTGGATTAGGGTCTCCCAAGACGTCTCTTTTAAAAAGCATATGCAAAAATTTGCCGCGATCTCTCCGGTAAGCGGTTGGTCCAGAAGCCTGCCTGACCTCCTACAATAGGCACTCTTGCTGGACCCGCTTTTTTGCTGCATTGCCGTGTTTTGGCGCCTTGCGTCTCTTCTCCTCCTCTAGTCGTGCCCTTTCCTGCCAGAGAGCAGAGTAGTCATCAGCCTAAAGGCCAAAGGTTCTGTGCTGTGGCCTGCCGATCCATACAATAGCGATTGTCCGCGATTCTGCTGCGTCTACCAACCCACCTCCGCTTCCGCTTTGGATTTCTCGAGCGCAGCTTTTTCCTGTATGCGGTCTGCAGAAACTTAGCGGGCCACACAACCCTATCATTCCCATCCCCACAGCATCCCGCAGCTTCAACGTGCAGATCACGCATGGCTCTGTGCGCTTGCAGCACATCCTGCCCCGCCTCCTGTCTGCGCTTCTCCGCGGCTGCCTGCGTTGCCATGCATCTCAGTATTACGAAAACAAACACACACACACACACACACACACACACACAGAGACAGACAGCTTCCTCAAACCGCAAAGGCATTCTTCTGAAAACTCCAACCTCCGCCGCTTCTGCACGAACCTTTTCCCGAGCCGCTTCTTCCTGCTGAGCCAAGCAAAATCGAAACGCAGCACTGCTGACCAAACCATGGGCAAGGATAACCCAAACGGGTGAGAAACATTCGCACAAGCTTGGCTTCACTTACTTGCTGCTCTGACTACACACTGCTACCAACAGTCTACCCGACAGGAGCCCCGTCTGTGACACCTCTCGTCTTCGCCGCGCTTCCTCTGCTAGTCGAGCGCTCTCCTGCACTCTGCTCGAACACGCGGAAAAAAACAGCACAACGTGCAGGGTTCTGACTCACAGGCCCGTACAGGCGCAGGGCAGTTTTGTCCAACTACCTGTCTAGGAGAGGTTGTGCCCAATGATGTTGGGTCCTATTTGCTGTGGCCCCCTGCCCCTTCCCCTGCACAGTGGGAAGGCTTCGGGAGGTCTGAAAACGGACCCCAGATTCTGCATGGTTTTCCCAAAGAATAGATAGGAAGGAATCAGAACAGCCTAAGTGTGGATTAGGGTCTCCCAAGACGTCTTTTTAAAAACGTGTGCAACATTTGCCGCGATCTCTCCGGTAAGCGGTTGGTCCAGGAGCCTGCCTGACCTCCTACAATAGGCACTCTTGCTGGACCCACTTTTTTGCCGCATTGCCGTCCGTGTTTTGGCGCCTTGCGTCTCTTCTCCTCCTCTAGTCGTGCCCTTTCCTGCCAGAGAGCAGAGTAGTCATCAGGCTAAAGGCCAAAGGTTCTGTGCTGTGGCCTGCCGATCCATACAATAGCGATTGTCCGCGATTCTGCTGCGTCTACCAACCCACCTCCGCCTCCGCCTTGGATTTCTCGAGCGCAGCTTTTTCCTGTATGCGGTCTGCAGAAACTCAGCGGGCCACACCACCCTATCATTCCCATCCCCACAGCATCCCGCAGCTTCAACGTGCAGATCACGCATGGCTCGGTGCGCTTGCAGCACATCCTGCCCCGCCTCCTGTCTGCGCTTCTCCGCGGCTGCCTGCGTTGCCATGCATCTCAGTATTACGAAAACAAACAAACACACAAACACACACACACACACACACACCCACACACACCCACACACACACACACACACACACACACACACACACACACACAGAGACAGCTTCCTCAAACTGCAAAGGCGTTCTTCTGAAAACTCCAACCTCCTCCGCTTCTGCACGAGCCTTTTCCCGAGCCGCTTCTTCCTGCTGAGCCAAGCAAAATCGAAATGCAGCACTGCAGACCAAGCCATGGGCAAGGATAACCCAAACGGGTGAGAAACATTCGCACAAGTTTGGCTTCAATTACTTGCTGCTCTGACTACACACTGCTACCAACAGTCTACCCGACAGGAGCCCCGTCTGTGACACCTCTCGTCTTCGCCGCGCTTCCTCTGCTAGTCGAGCGCTCTCCTGCACTCTGCTCGAACACGCGGAAAAAATGTGCAAGGTTCTCATGTGATGGCTCTGCACGGACTGAAGTGTGGCAAGCCACTCGTGCTGACGGAACCGCATCACAGAATGTCACAGAGCTTCCTCTGCTTCTGCACACGCCGCCTGGAGTGCCTCTTCTTCCTGCCGAAAGTGTGGACAGACAGTGGCTTTGCCAAGCATTGCCAAGCAACAAGAGTTCGTTAAAGCAGGCACGACAAACGAAACACAGACTACGACTCCTTTTATGTCTCGTGATTGCTGTTGTCGATAGGCTGGCTCGGAGTCGTGTCTTCGTTCTGTATGCGGCGACACTGCCTTTTCTACATGAGCCTCGTTCGCTCGCGCAGTCGGACGTTTTGTCAGTTTTGCTATACCTTCCAGCGGGCTCTTCATGCACGGCTCGCACCTGTCTTTTACATCGGCATTTACTGCGTTCTGTGTGGACCAGATTCAAACTCTGACCACCACTTGGCAAGCTGTGACCCCATGGCCCACAGCCTTGAAAGGCCTTGCATAGCACATGCTCCTGGCTGGAGACCTTCAGAGCCTTCGTGTGGCTGCCAGGGGCAGCTGGTAAGAGTAGTCGTTGATCTGCTTGAACTCTAACTAAAAATACAGTTTCACCTCAGCCTGGACCCGGCCAACGTTTGATGTAAGGTCTGTCGACACACCGCCACTCAGGCCTCACAGGTCTGCGCACTGCTGGCACTGCTGGCCTTCTCGTTTTCACCTGAGATGAAACAAAATTCAGGACAGGAATGGACAGGATTCAGAGTCAATTCAGAGGAGATTGAAGACTCCCAAAATAGCCCCACGCCTTAGGTCCTACATTCGAGCAACTACCGGTATGTCTCACCAGTATCAAGACAATTTCACATCGCTTGCAAGGAAGTCGGTGCTTCTGCCAGGCAGCTGCTATCCTTCTTCTCTTTTGCAGCCTTCTTGCCACCGCTGTCCTCTAAGCTTCACACGACATAGGGGCTCTAAAAACAAGCCCGCATCACAAAAATCACAGGATATGCACAATCGACCACAAACATCCCTGCCCTGCAGCCCAAACCCCGCAGACACTCAATCTGCAATTGCAAAAAACGAGACTACTGTTCCGAACCGAGCGGCAAAGCTACCACCGCGCTTGCGCCTGCACCATGCTCCCCAATTCTGACAGTGGGTTTCCGGCTCCCAAAACTGTTAATAAAGTCTACAAGGCTCTCACCGAGTAACTCTAAACACTGAGCAGAGGGTGGCCCGACATCTCATCCTCAAAGACTACGTCTTTCCAAGGACTTAAAAAAATCTTGACATGCCTGAGGCTTCTACTACTAGTAGGGTTTCGGGTCATCGGGACGAGAGCAATGTGCTGAGGCGACCAGGAGCTTTGCAAGTGGCCGTCCCTTCCCAACGAGCCAAAACCTGATAGAACCTTAGGAGCCACGAACCCGAATGCAGATACGTATTCGCCTCGGCTTCCTGCCGAGAAGCGTCTCCCCCCATCCAAAATTTTTCTGACGCCACCCCCCCCCCCCCCCCCCCCCTGTGGGACCCCCCCCAATCGCTTGGAGGAGCTGCAAACCGATGCCGTGGAGGGTCCCGCCTGTCGGTGGCTCCTACAGGGGGAGTGCCTCAAAACCCCCCCCACCCCCCCCCCCCCCCCCCCCACCCCCCACCCCCCCCCCCCCCCCCCCCCCCCCCACCCCCCCCCCCCCCCCCCCCCCCCCCCACCCCCTCCCCGCTTTGACCTCGCTGCCCTTCCTCCCCTTTTTTTGCGAAACCCTCTTTCCTCCTTTCCTGTCCTGGCCGGCCCGGCTGCCGAGGCGGCGCGCGCAAGCGTTTACAATTACATACACAGTAGCCAAAAGAGAAGCGGTGCACGACACGACATCCGAACTGCAGTGCGTCATGCGTCTTTCTCTCTCTCTCTCTCTCAATTTTCTGTGTCCCTCTGATATCTCTCTCTCGCTCTCTCTCTCTCTCTCTTATCTCTTCTCTCTCGCTCTATCTCATTTCTTCTCTTCCGCGCTCTCGCTCTCATTCTGCCTCTCGTTCTCTTTTAGTCCCTCTCTCCACCAGTTTCTCTCAATCTCCTTCTCATTATCTCTTGCACTCTCCCTCTCTCTCACACTCTCTCCAGCTCTCTCTCTCTCGCTCGCTCGCTCGCACTTCTTCTTCTACCCAGCGAAGAGCCCCCCCCCCTGAGCGAACCCCGGCAACTCTCTCTCTCTCTCTCTCTCCCCCTCTCTCTCTTTATCTCGCTCTCTCCCTCTCTCTCCAGAGCACCAATAAGCAGAACAAGTGCACACAGTAGTCGACGACGCACCCATGAGCAAAACAGCTGCATATAGATCATAGTAAGCAAGACACACCAAGAAGCAAAACAAGCATGTACATGTATATCGAGCGAAGACGCACCACCAAGCCAAACAATTGCATACAGTGAGCCAAGAGGCATCAGCAAGCAAAACAACCACACAGGAAGGGAAGACGGAACCCCGCCTCCTAAAACGGAACCCTGCTTCTACGCCTTCGTGAAAAAACTGCTCATGAGCCACCTAACCCCTCTGCAGATGAATCGGGAGTGAAATCCCATAGTTCGACCTCCTCTGACCCCAATGCCCTGGAGCACCGTGTGCGAAGCAGCCCTCACTTTGAGGCTCGCGCTTCCTGCTTCTCGATTGGCTCTGCTCTGCCTACGACAGCCCGCATTGCGAAAGAGGACTTCGGGCTACGGTATGCAATGGCGACTTGTCCACACGACTTGTTGCATGCTTTTCGGATTTCACATCCGAAGCATTCCGAAGCCTCACCTAGCTGCACTTTGAAACTCCGATGTCTGAGTCTCCACTCGCATCAAACCTTCAACCAAGATAAGGCATGAAATCCGGCGGCTGTCAGCGGCCTAAACTCTTGAAAGCTTTGTAAGCTTTACCTGTTCCCCTCGTTCTCGTCTTCAGACAGAGATTGCGCGCATACATCACTGTGTTCCGGATGCCAGACCCGAAGTCTCACCATGCCTAACCCCTCCGAAAAACTTCGGAACTCCATGACCTCCCCCCAAGCTGCCATCCCAACATCCCAACACCGGCATCCCAACTCCCCGTAAACCCTCCTCGTCAGACTCATCCTCCAGTTCTGCCGACACTTCCTGGGGGGTTGAGAGGGTGAATGAAAACTGAGTACCATGAAAGAGAGGGGTTGAAGGGAAGGTTCGGAGACCGACCGATTGAGATCTCAATCCTCCCAGACCGACTGAAAATCGGGGCTTCATTGAAGCCCTGAGAAAGTTTCCCAGGCATCTTCAACCGTCGCCCCTGCACACCATGTCAGAAAACAGCTGCAGAAAACCTCATCCCAGGTGCTCTCAGCAACCCTGAAGCTCTACGCAGCAATTATGCAAAATCTGCAAATTACTAAAGCAGCCCCTTGCAAAACGCTTAAATTTGTGTACATCTTCCAACTTCCAACACAAAGCCTCCTTGTTCGCTCGATTCTCAGCCACTTCCCTTTCCAGTAGGCAACGTGACCGACGCTCTTAGAAAACTTCGGAAGAGGCTTTTGGAGAAAATGCAGCAACATGTGTATGAACCGTCCCCTTGATCATCAGGCGATTGGCGTTTACACACACACATGGAGATTGCGAGAACACCGCAAATCCTTAATCCCCAAACATAGCTCGGCATATGTGCATCGAAACCTTATGCGGACACTCAAACTGTAGCTCTCGCCTACATGCTGCAGACTTCTTTACAAATCCTACAACTCATCTGATAGACCCCTTATGATTTGTTTATCACGTTTCAGGCACATGCCCCATAAATTCGTTTCTTGCAAGGAATGTCCCATAAGTCCTGTTGCTTTTGTGGCGAGAAATCGTAGCCTTCAAATGAGGGCGCTTCTAGGGAAGCCGATAGCAACTTATGAACCCCACACTCGATTTGTTTAAGGCCAACTTATCATATGTCCTTTCGTTTTTATCATGGTGACTCATCTTCTACATGTCATCTGTACGCGGCTTCGACGTCACAAAGCACTCCCCCACAGAATCCCATTTTCGTTCATGGTGGCTTGCCTTCTGCATCCGTTATCGTTTTATCGGAAGGCTTCCTACTTATTTTAAAAATTCCTTTATAGAACACTGTAAAGGCAGTCCTGGCAATGTCCCAGACTAAAACGACATATGTCTGCCGAAATGTCCTAACGCGCACAAGTGTTATGCATCACAAAGCACACGGCATATCATAGTTCTTTCAGTTCTTCAGTCCTCGCCGGACTCTTCTTCAAATGGAGCAGAAACCTCCTCGTCTTCACATGCCTGATTGAGTTTGCATCGCGCTGTCAGACTCTAAACTCTAAATGCTGCAAAAACATCGAACGTAGTTCCTGTCAGTTCAGACAGGGACTTCGTGGAGGATTCGGAGAATTGGAATATTGCGTGCACGCACATCTAAGACTGCGACAACATGATATGAAAACGGTCAGTTACCCCCCGAGTGCTACTCCTAAGTCAGAATGTGAGTGTGCTAAGTGCACGGTCCTCGGCGATACCTTTGAGCGCAGGCACTTCATCTATTCAATCTATTCACTTGCGTGCACGCAGTCGAACACATAACTGAAACAGCATGATACAACTGAAGTAACACAATCAGTTCCCCTTGGATGCTCATGGTTCGGAACGCGAATGTGGAAGTGACTGGTCCTCAACGGCATCGCCCTGCTCAGGTGCTTCCTCTTCTTTGTCGCTGTCAGGCTTCTCCTCACTGGCTTGCGGCGGCACACTTCCGACCTTTGATGAGGGAAGGGAAGCGCCTTCTCTGCATCGCTGTCGTCCTCTCTCTCTTCGCCTCCGACTGAGGATGCATTGGGAAAGGGACGGGATAGTCATACTAGAATGGTACCTCTTGTGCGAGGTCATGACACCATAATCAGGTCCAGATGCAAAAGCAGAGGTAAACTGCTTGATGTGACCGGATGGGCAGCAACCGCACTTCAGCTTGCAAGCATGCCGCAGTACGCCAAACAAAGCCTAAGAATCTAACGGCGTGTCTACCGAGCGGCTGCTGTCAATCTTCGCTTGCTCTCCCTGGCTCTTGGTCTCGTCCTCAAACTCAGTCTGCGATTGCTTTTTGTGTTCTACGCTTGCTGCATGCTTGCTGCTGTCGATGTGGGAGGGTAGATCGGACTAAGGGGTTGTTCATAGAATCAGAAGACTTGCTTTACATCGGTTTACAGGTTTGGTGGATCAGGCTATTTGCAACGCCTGCAAATTCACGATGCTGGGCACGGTGTTCTCCTTGACATACTGAGCGCTAGATCCCTAGCACTGAAGAGCGCATCCCCATAGAAACGCTGCGTTTTTGGCAACCGTTCAGGTGCTGGAATGCCATGGGTACATGAATCTGGATCGAAACGGTTGTGGCAAAGAAAAGGTAGACGCACAGAATGGTGTTGTAGAGTTGTAACCGTTGCAACCATGACTCTCCCATATAGGCTGGAAATCAACACGAAACTTCAAAACTTATGAGACACCAACCCATCGCAAAACAAACAACACAAACCAAAACAAAATCACACCTAATTCACAAACATCTCCCAGAACATCGTAGAACCAGGACCTGCCAAATCCAGATTCAAACAAAAACCATACTTGCCGATCAAACGCAAATCACACAGAAATCACAAAACAATAAATAAGCAAGCCCTCTCTCTGACAATACAGGCAATCCTGCTTATATACTAGAGATACACAATGTACCCAAAGGATGGCGCACCTCTTGCCTGCTCTGCTAAAGTCACTATGGAAAGCAAGCAGACATAAACACTTACATGAAACGTGGCTGTTGCATGTAGACGCTGTGCGACGTATAACGTGAACACGCGGCGTGAGATAAACCCACTCCTTGCAAATGGGTGCGAATAGGACTGGAAAACCTGAGAGGGTGCGAAACCCTAAATTGCAAACGAAGCTCATGTCCTGCTATTCATCACTCCCTGTGCGCATGACCCTTCCTTGATGCTCCGAGGGTCCTTCCAAAGCCGTCCCCGCGCTTTGGGCCATAACAAAGCAAGCAAGATACACATTCAGTTGTGCAGATCGAAGCTGTCGCATGTGCAACGGTGCATCATAGCTTGGATGTCAGCCTCCGCTGAAGGTTCTCTCGATCTAGCAAATAGAAGCAACAAGGACTTGTTGCTTTGGAGTTCAGGGTCAGGGTTTAGGCTGCGGATTTGTTTGGGGGTCGACGCCCCCTGCCCGGCGGCGGTCTCCTCGTAAACAAAGCTTTCGTATCTGCCCGTGGCTCTTAAGTCATAAGTCTCCCGTTCAGGTTGATCTGTCGCTTTCGCGGTCCCTCACACCAGCAGCGAGCATGCGCGACGTTGGGGCCATCAAAGGCATTGACGAGGCCCTATAGCCAGCAAGATCAGGAGCATCAGGCCGGCCCTGTTGACCAATAAGGGCCGCAAGTCCACCCCAGCGAGCAGCATCAGGCCGGCCTCGTTTCTCCGTCAAAAAGTCACAAAGAAACCACACGCAGCCTCAGAAAAAGGCCCGCGGTGGAGGCCATGGTGGGCAGTCTCTGATGCCCAGCCGGACTCGCCAGAATTCGGACGCCCTGCCCCCCCAGACCCCCCAAGGCTTCGCCCCAGAGCCCTTACAGAGTATCTCAGGGGAGCTTTCGTGATGACGAAGGAGAAGCCCCCACACCCCAAGGCAGATGAATCACGAGTAGAAACCCTAGATCACAAAACCCAAAGCCCTGATCACCCTAAGCCCCGCAAACTCTCAATACCTTAAATCCTAAACGCCCCAAGCCAGAAAGCCGTCAAGCGGTAGAAACCTGCAAAAGGGAGGAGATGGGGGCTGGATGGGCTTGGGGAGCATACCTGGGCGGCAACACCCTACACTATCACCCCTACAAACCCTCAACCCCGAAACCCTTCAGCCCCGCAACCCTAAACTTTAAAACCCGAACCCGAAACTCACAAGCCCCGAAACAGAAAAACCCTGAAAACATCCTAAATCCGTGAAACCTGAAACCCTTGAAAGCGAAGGAGTTCGGCACAGGGTGTATCAGTGGGAGAAACCTGAAAAACTTTGAGGAGATAGGAATCCTGACCCGTGCTTTGTGTTCTGTGCGCAGCGGGCAAACATGGGCAAACCTAACTGCATGATGATGCAACGGGATGTGGCTACACATGATTCAGCACGTGAATGTGCACGTGAGGGGTCCTCGACGGCCTCTTTCTCTTCAGGTGTTTCCTCTTCTGCAGGAGCCTCAATCAATTTCAATTGTGCGCTCGCACATCTAACACCGATAACTGCAACAACATGATACAACTGAAACAAACTAAACCGTCGGCTACCCTAGAAGGCGAATGTGCAAGCGAGGGTCCTCGATGGCAGCTTGCTTTTCGGGTGCTTCCTCTTCGTTGTCGCTGTCAGAAACCTCTTGCACTGCCTGCTTGCCGCGACACATTTCGAGCACGTGACGGGGCAAGGGAAGCCTGTCTGATATCGGAGGCCTGCTGCACATCACTGTCGTCTTCTTTCTCATCACCTCAGACGGATGGCGTGAGGGAAAGGAACTGGATATTTACACGAGATCGGCATCTCGTGTGTCATGTCAGGACCACATATGACGACCACAAGGTCCAGATGCAAACGCGTGGAGGTAAACAGGCTGAGAGGGGCGACAATGCCCAGAACAGAATGCCGGATGGGACGGCAACGGTTCAGCTTGCCAGCATGCCACAGAAACCTCTATGAATCAAAGAGCGTCCTTACCAAGCGACTGCCATGCTTCGTTGCTTTCTCTTCCTGGCTCTGGTCTTCATCCTCAAACTGAGGTTGCGATTCCTTTCCCAAACCTAAATGCGCGATGATGGAACAGGACTGGTCAGCCTGTCTCGGATGCTGCTCGTGGTTCGGAACGCGAATGTGCAAGTGGCTGGTCCTCAACGGCATGGCCCTGCTCAGGTGCTTCCTCTTCTTTGTCGCTGTCAGGCTTCTCCTGCACTACGGGCTTGCGGCGGCACACTTTCGACCTTTGAGGAGGGAAGGGAAGCGCCTTCTCTGCATCGCTGTCGTCCTCTCTCTCTTCGCCTTCGACTGAGGATGCATTGGGAAAGGGACAGGATAGTCATACTAGAATGGTACCTCTTGTGCGAGGTCATGACACCATAATCAGGTCCAGATGCAAAAGCAGAGGTAAACTGCTTGATGTGACCGGATGGGCAGCAACCGCACTTCAGCTTGCAAGCATGCCGCAGTACGCCAAACAAAGCCTAAGAATCTAACAGCGTGTCTACCGAGCGGCTGCTGTCCATCTTCGCTTGCTCTTCCCTGCTCTTGGTCTGGTCCTCAAACTCAGTCTGCGATTCCTTTTTGTGTTCTATGCTTGCTGCATGCTTGCTGCTATCGATGCGGGAGGGTGGATCGGACTAAGGGGTTGGAAGCTGATTCGAGCACTTGAAAACGGAATTCGCACACTGGCAGGAGACGTGAGAAGCCCCAAACCTGGAGAGGAGTGGAAGAGTCTTGGAGAGGTGCGACGCCCAAACTCCTGATTGATGAAATCTGATGAATGAGACCGGAGGGGGTGCGAAACCCTAAACCGCAAACGAAGCTCATGAACACGAAAATGAACTACAAACCGTTATCAACCTGAACAGGAGATGAACAGTAGATGACGAAGGAGAAGCCCCCACATCCCGAGCAAGATGAATCACGAGTGGAAACCCTAGATCACAAAACCCAAAACCCTGATCACCCTAAGCCCCGCAAACTCTCAATACCCTAAATCCTACACGCCCCAAGCCAGAAAGCCGTCAAGCGGTAGAAACCTGCAAAAGGGAGGAGATGGGGGCTGGATGGGCTTAGGGGAGCATACCTGGGCGGCAACACCCTATACTATCACTCCTACAAACCCTCAACCCCGAAAACCTTCAGCCCCGCAACCCCTAAACTTTAAAACCCGAACCCTTAAAACATCCTAAATCCCTGAACCCTTAAACCCTTGAATTCGGAGAGGGATGTATCAGCGGCAGAAACCTGAAAAACTTGGAGGAAACCTAAATGCATGATGATGCAACGGGAGCGTTTGGCCTGCCTCTGTTGCCAGGCATGATTCGATGATTCAGCAAGTGAATGTGCAAGCGAATGGTCCTCCATGGCATCTTTCTCTTCGGGTGCTTCCTCTGTTGCAGGAGCCTCATTCATTTGCGCGCAGCCTAGTGCCGTGAACTGCGACTACGTGATACGGCTGGGACATTGCTGCCCTGCCACTCATGACCCACAACGCAAACGAACAAGCGAATGGTCCTCGACGGTACTAGTATCTTTCTGTTCAGGCACTTCATCTTCTGCGCGAGCCTCCTTCACACGCACGAATGCAATCTAACGCATGTAACTGATACGACAATGTCTCGACTCATGATTCAGAACGTGAATGTGCAAGCGAACGGTCCTCGACAGCATCTTTCTGTTCAGACAATTCCTCTTCTGCACGAGCCTCCTTCACTTGCGCGCACGCGGCCTAAGACATATAATTGATACAACTAAATTCGTCGGTTACTTTCGGATGCTACTCATGACTCGGAACGCGAATGTGCAAGTGAATGGTCCTCGACGGCATCTTTCTGCCATTCCTCCTCTGCACGAGCCTCGTTCACTCGCACACACGGAGTCTAACACATATGACTGATTCAACTAAAAAGGTCGGTTGTCCCGGATGCTGGGCAAGCTGCTACTCATGTGGCAGTGGGCCAAAGTTGGTGTTGTCCCCCCACCCAAACCACCGTCTGTCTGATGAGTGCCCATACCCTTTGTGGCGGTCTGAGGATAGAGGAATGTCATGCGCGCTTTGGCTTGTAGCGTGTCAAGCAGGACGGTTTTGATACAAAGCCCTGTCGCAAAAGGCCCCCCCCCCCCCCACGGGCCTGTTGCAAGCCCCGTTCTTTTTGTTGAACCGCGCCCATCTTTCAAAAACGTGATGTGCAAGTGAATGGTCCATAATGGCATCTTTCTGTTCAAGCCCTTCCTCCTCTGCACGAGCCTCATTCACTCGCACACACGCAGTCTAACACATGCAACTGATACCCCTGAAACATGTCGGTTGTCTCGGATGCTTGTCAAGCTGCTAGGTGAGCCGTTTGTAATCTAGTTGAAGTAGGGAGCCGTTCCCGTGAGTACTGGTTCTACTGGTACGGCGGCCTTGCTTCCGCGGATGCTTCTGCGAGCTCATTTCGAGTAGGTTTATAAAAGGATAAATAGGAACGTGTGTGAGGCGTTTTGCCGGTGACAGGTCGGGTGTGGGGCGTAAGGGTCTTGTGTGGATCTGAGATGCTTGCAGCAAATACGGTGCTGTGTTGCTGCATGGTTTCTGCTCTGCGAAAGGCTTTCTGGCATGCTTGATCTTACGGAGCTGCTATGCAGGAGCACGGACTTGAAAGGAAAGGCCCGGCATTGAGACTGAGATTGACGCACAGGCTTTCGTGCAGTTTCCGCCGAGTTCGTGTCGTCGCAGACGGAGACCCTCGGGTCTCACTGCGGGCTCACATGGGCTGGGATAGCCCTTGCAACATGCAACTCCAGAATCTAGAACCCCCTCCCATGCCCCCCGGCTCGAGCCGAGATGGGGGTTGGGAATCCTGTTCGCGGCCGATCCAATACTCATCTGAGTTCATTAAAAGTACATTGCCTTCTATAGAAGCCCATTTTGCTTGGAGTACAGACACGTTTGTATCTTCCGCAGGTGCTTCCGCGGAGATGCGCTTCAGCAAGCCCTCCTGCATGCTTTCGCGGCCACAATCTCATGCAGTTTCGCATCCCCGTTCCCGGCCTTGTTTCCCGATGCAACAAACTTTGATTGAACGTGAAAAACATCCATCCGAAACCTTGTAATTACGTGTTCCACAAACTGACTTTCAAAACTCTTGAGATCCAAATACATCTGCCCCCGGCCTGTGGGAAGAACTGTAGGAAGATCTTGCTCTTCACCGCATCTTTGTCCATCTCGTTCCGGTCACAGGCATTGTCGGCATTGTTGACAATTTCTTTTAACATATCCAGGAAGTGTTCCGTTAAAGCCTTGTGGACATTCGAGAAGTCTCCTGATAGAGATGCCCTCCAAGGCTTGAAGGCAAAGCTCGGCGTGACCATATGGCAACGGCTGAAAAACTCAACCAATTCATCCACCCCTGCTGTTTTGCAAAGAGCTTCTGCAGGCTCGTCCAGGACCTTAGGAACCGAACCACGAATCCCTTGAAACAGTCTACCACATGCAGAGGGTTGCCAAGTGAATTACTGGCCTCCGGCACGGAAACTTCGCAGGACACCGGCCCCACCCGAGACTCCTCCTCTGTGCTGAGTCAAGAGGGCAAGAAACAACGTCACAAACGCAAGTACCGATTGCCAACCTGGTCGTTCTTATCCCTTATCGTCTTACAAGGTAAAGCAGATGCTTACGTATGTCAACCTGTACAGCTTATTTCCTTCGTCAAAATACTCTTTATCGTTTTGCAATGAACCGCCTCTTATGTGCTTTCAACTTGATTGCGCCCACACAGCAACCGCAGCGACGCCTCGTCGGAGTCATACATTTGGAGCAGCTCGATTCGTGGGGGTGCGACTGCCTCGGTTTGCCAAACTTGACCAGCAGCGGATTCAGAAAGTGGAAAAACGAGATTCGGAAAACTTATTAGGGAAACGTAAATCACGGACTCGGAAACTGGCAACACGTGATTCGGGAAACTGGAAAACGCGGTTCGACAAACTGGAAAACAAGGATTCGGGAACTCGAAAGCGTGGATTCAGGAAACTCAAAAGTTTACTGAAAGCACGGCATGAAAGCACCCCCCAACCCACCCACCTGACTGCCAAACCTCCATTAGAGCAGGCACGACGAACTTAAAACACAACGTGCCACATTGCCCTGTTGTCGCACCTCACGTCTCTTCTCCTCCTCTAACTGTGCCTTTTCCTGTCAGACATTGCCAGACACAGCCTTTTCTTGTATGCGGTCTGCAGAGACACATTGGGCCACACCCTCCCATCCCCACAGCATCCCACAGCTTCAACGTGCAGATCACACATAGCTCTGCGTCGTTGCGAAGCAATTCCCGCGTGTGCACTTGCAGCAGATCCTGCCCCGCCTCCTGTCTGCGTTTCTCCGCGGCTGCCTGCGTTGTCATGCATCTTAGTACTACGCACACACACACACACAGAGCTTCCTCACACTGCGAAGGGGAGTGCCCAGCCCCAGAGTCTCCCTGGAGTGACCAAAGTCTCCCTGGAGTGCCCAAGCCCAGAGTGTCCCCGGCCCAGCCCAGAGTCCCCCTGCAGTGCCCAACTCCAGAGTCTCCCTGGAGTGCCCAACCCCAGAGTGTCCCCAGGAGTGCCCAACCCCAGATTATCTTTACCAAGAGAGGGTGGGGATGTTCGAAGTAAAATAATTTGTTCATATGTTTTTTAAACAGATTTCTTGGGAGACCGTATTCCCCCTAATTATGCTTCGGCTGTTCTGATTTTATTCGTATGTTTTCTTTGGTAAAATCACAATATATATGCTACCCTCCCCCCAAAAAAACACGAGTTACTATGTTTTCCCATCGTACACTATGAAAACCTCTCCCCAGAGAGCCTCAATTCCAGAATTCCAGAATTCCAGATTTTCTGAGACCCCTAATTCCAGAATTCCAGAATTCCCGATTTTTTCAGAGGCCCCCAGTTCCAGACTTCCAGAATTTTCCATTTTTTTGAGACCCCCAGTTCCAGAATTCCAGAAATCCAGATTCTTGAGAGGCCCCCAGTTCCAGAATTCCAGAATCTGGAATTCTGGAACTGGGGGCCTCTCAAAAATCTGGAATTTTGGAATTCTGGAACTGGGGGACCCAAAAAAATCTGGAATTCTGGAATTCTGGAACTGGGGTTCTCGAAAAAATCTGGAATTCTGGGATTCTGGAATTCTGGCAGTTCCAAAACATAAAGATAAAAAGAAAAGCACAAGTATAAACAACGGAAACACATATATACGCACGCAAGTCAAGTGTTTAGTATTACATTTTAGAATTAGAGACGGAAAATAAGATTCTTATTAATCTTAATGGGATTCCTATTAGTTTTATAGGATTCCTGCTTATTTTCTAAGCTTCCTGTTAAATTTAATAACACTCCTGTTCACTTTAAGGGGAGTTCTTATTAAACTAATCAGGTTCCGAATCATTTTACTGGCATCCAAATTGTTTTTAAATAGGACTCCTGTATTTGTTTTGTGGGGTTCGTATCAAATCTTACAGGATGCCTAGTATTGGTTTAATATTGATTCCCTAGTCATTTTAATCAGACTCCAAGTATTTTGAATACGATTCTTAGTACTTTTGGTAGCATTCTTCTTATTCCTAGTATCTGAATATAAAGTCTAACAATTTTAATAAGCTTCATAACAAATTTTAAACATATTCCTATGAATTTTAACTAAGATGTCGTACAATTTCTAATTGGATTCCTTTCGCTTTATAATCAGCTTGCTATTCATGTAAATAGGCTTCTGACTAATTTGAATAGGCTTCGTATTCATTTTATCAGGGTTTCTCATTCATGTTGAAAGGATTCCTAAAAATGTTCATAGGATTCCTACTAGATTCAACAGTGCTTTATTTTTTGAATCCTGTTCCCTATTCATTTCGATTGGGCACATCAGGTTTAGGCATTAAAACCTCAAAACCCTATAAGGTTTTTAAAGGTGTAAGGTCTGGTTTGTTGTTTTCCTTAAGCCAAGCATATAGGATTTAGGGTTATAACGCTAAACTTATAGGATTAGAACCTTATACCCCTATACTATGGGCCTTGAGGCTTAAATCCTAAACCTTAAATCCCATGGAGTTCTACCTATGTTTGTAGGCCTTGCCTCCTGCGGAAATGCAATGGGAAAGTAGGAGAAGTACCCACTTCATGTATGTATATAGGGTGGATATAACAAATAATGGAGAAGCCTCGAACCATAAGACAAGGAAGTATTCGAGCGCATAAGGTGATGCGAGAATACTGTGAGCAAATACTTTTTCCATTTCCTAGGACCTTTCGACGGGCTGTAATGCTCATCTATCCGCAAACCATAGGGGTCGGTGCAAGCTTCACTCTCGAAAACCCGAAAAACGGTGGATAACTGAGGGCGGGGGGGTAGCTCTAGGGAGATTCTGGGGCTGGGCACTACGGGGACACTCTGGGAAAGTCTGGGTTTAGCACTCCAGGGAGACTCTGGAGTTGGGCACTCCAGGGACACTCTAGAGTTGGGCACTCCAGCGACACTTTGGGGAAGGGCTTGGTCTTTTTTGCCCCTGTTTTGGGTCCCTTTTGCACCCGTTCCACATATAGGATTTCTTATCCTACTTGTTCTCCCGTTCTGGGTCCCCTTTTGCAGCTGTTCTACACATAGGGCTTCTTTTTGCAGCTGTTCTACACATAGGGTCTCTTTTTGCACCAGTTCCACATACAGGGTCTTTTTCTGCCCCCGTTTGGGTCCCTTTGCACCGTTCCATGTACCCCCCCCCCCCCCATTTGCAAACACAATGCTCGCACGATGGGTTTGCAAGGTCTTCATGTGATTTGACGCATGCCTGCACGGCCTGAAAAAAGAGCGGGGGGGTTGGGGGGCGCAGCCCCCCCCCATTTGCAAATACAAGGCTCGCACGATGGGTTTGCGCGGGCTGCATATGCTTTACGCATGGCTGCACGGCCGGCAAAAAAACGGGGGGTTGGGCCCCCCCCACCCCGTTTGCAAACACAATGCTCGCGCATGGGTTTGCAAGAGCTTCATATGCTGTGACGCATGCCTGCACCGGCCTAAAAAAGGCGGGGGAATTGGGGGGGGGGGGGGCCCCCAGTTCCGTCCCCTGAATAAAACCCTTCCCTCCCCTCCGCAAAGTCTTTCTCGCCCCTGTTGCAGGGTCTCCGTGCGGTCTGTTGCAGTCTCTTTTCCTCCCGGGCCTTTTTTACCCGCGTCGTGGCTCTCCCCCCCTTGGACTGCGGGTCTTTCTTGCCGGGGAAAAACCCTGCACATGCCGAATGAAAACCCAGCCCCCCGCCCTTGGGTCTTTTTTGCCCCCGTTGTGGGGTCTCCTAGCCATCTGGTTGCGGTCCCCTTTCCCCCCTTTGCATTGCGGTCTTTTTTGCGGAGGGGGTTCTTTTTGGCGGTGCCAGGGCAGAAGGGGGGGAAAAAACCCGCGCGTGCCGAATTAAAACCCAGCCGGTTCGTATTAAATTTTAAAGGATGCCGAGTAAGGGTTCCTATTAACTTTATTGGGTTTAATATTGATTCCTATTCATTTTAATCAGCTTCCAAGTATTTGAATACGATTCTTAGTACTTTTGGTAGCATTCTTTCTTATTCCTAGTATCTTAATATAAAGTCGAACAATTTTAATAAGCTTCATAACAAATTTTAAACATATTCCTATGAATTTTGACGGGCTTCTTATTCAATTTAATAAGATGTCGTACAATTTCGAATTGGATTCCTTTCGCTTTATAATCAGCTTGCTATTCATGTAAATAGGCTTCTGACTAATTTGAATAGGCTTCGTATTCATTTTATCAGGGTTTCTCATTCATGTTGAAAGGATTCCTAAAAATGTTCATAGGATTCCTCCAATGCCGAATTAAAACCCAGCCCCGATCAATTCGGTGAGGGGTTGGTCCAGGAGCCTGCCTGACCTCCTACAATAGGCACTCTTGCTGGACCCGCTTTTATGCCGCATTGCCATGGTTTGGCGCCTTGCGTCTCTTCTCCTCCTCTAGTCGTACCCTTTCCTGCCAGAGAGCAGAGTAGTCATGCTAATGGCTGCATCAGGCTAAAGGCTAAAGGTTCTGTGCTGTGGCCCATGCTTCGATTTTGAAGTGTGCCGATCCATACAATAGCGATTGTCCGCGATTCTGCTGCGGCTACCAACCCACCTCCGCCTCCGCCTTGGATTTCTCGAGCGCAGCTTTTTCCTGTGTGCGGTCTGCAGAAACTCAGCCGGCCGCACAACCCTATCATTCCCATCCCCACAGCATCCCGCAGCTTCAACGTGCAGATCACGCATGGCTCTGTGCGCTTGCATCCTGCCCCGCCTCCTGTCTGCGCTTCTCCGCGGCTGCCTGCGTTGCCATGCATCTCAGTATTACGAAAACACACACACACACACAGACACACAGACACACAGAGCTTCCTCAAACTGCAAAGGCGTTCTTTTGAAAACTCCAACCTCCTCCGCTTCTGCACGAGCCTTTTCCCGAGCCGCTTCTTCCTGCTGAGCCAAGCAAATCGAAATGCAGCACTGCAGACCAAGCCATGGGCAAGGATATATAACCCAAACGGGTGAGAAACATTCGCACAAGTTTGCCTTCACTTACTTGCTGCCCTGACTACACACTGCGACCAACAGTCGACCCGACAGGAGCCCCGTCTGTGACACCGCTTGTCTTCGCCGCGCTTCCTATGCTAGTCGAGCGCTCTCCTACAGTCTGCTCGAGCACGCGGAAAAAAGGCAACGCGTTCTCACGCACAGGCCCAGTACAAGGGCAGGGCAGTTTCGTCCAAATACCTGTCTAGGAGAGGTTGCGCCCAATGATGTTGGGCCCTATTTACTGTGGCAACCTACCCCTTCGCCTGAACAGTGAAGGCTTCGGAAGGTCTGTAAACGGACCCCAGATTGCGTATGATTTTCTTTAAGGGGTTGGTCCAGGAGCCTGCCTGACCTCCTACAATAGGCACTCTTGCTGGACCCGCTTTTATGCCGCATTGCCATGGTTTGGCGCCTTGCGTCTCTTCTCCTCCTCTAGTCGTACCCTTTCCTGCCAGAGAGCAGAGTAGTCATGCTAATGGCTGCATCAGGCTAAAGGCTAAAGGTTCTGTGCTGTGGCCCATGCTTCGATTTTGAAGTGTGCCGATCCATACAATAGCGATTGTCCGCGATTCTGCTGCGGCTACCAACCCACCTCCGCCTCCGCCTTGGATTTCTCGAGCGCAGCTTTTTCCTGTGTGCGGTCTGCAGAAACTCAGCCGGCCGCACAACCCTATCATTCCCATCCCCACAGCATCCCGCAGCTTCAACGTGCAGATCACGCATGGCTCTGTGCGCTTGCATCCTGCCCCGCCTCCTGTCTGCGCTTCTCCGCGGCTGCCTGCGTTGCCATGCATCTCAGTATTACGAAAACACACACACACACACACACACACACACAGACACACACACACACAGACACACAGACACACAGAGCTTCCTCAAACTGCAAAGGCGTTCTTTTGAAAACTCCAACCTCCTCCGCTTCTGCACGAGCCTTTTCCCGAGCCGCTTCTTCCTGCTGAGCCAAGCAAATCGAAATGCAGCACTGCAGACCAAGCCATGGGCAAGGATAACCCAAACGGGTGCGCAACATTCGCACAAGTTTGCCTTCACTTACTTGCTGCTCTGACTACATACTGCTACCCACGGTCTACCATGGTCTACCCGACAGGAGCCCTGTCAGTGACACCTCTTGTCTTCGCCGCGCTTCCTCTGCTAGCCGCGCGCTCTCCTGCACTCTGCTCGAACACGCGGAAAGACACAGCACAACGTGCAAGGTTCTGACGCACAAGCCCTGTAGAGGCGCGGGGCAGTTTTGCCCAGCTGTCTGGCTAGGAGAGGTTGTACTGAATAGGCCATGGATGGTTCTGGGCACTGGGCAGTTCTGGGCGTCACTTGATGAAGTGTGGAAAGCCACTCGTGCTGATGGAACATGACGGAACCGCATCACAGCATATCCCAGAACTGCCTCTGCTTCTGCGACTGCCGCCTGGATCTCCTGGAGCGCATGATCTTCCTGCCGAAAGCCGTGCGGACAAAATGTGGCCACATTGCCACAAGTCTCCGTTATAGCAGGCGCGACAAGCTCAAGCACAACCATGTGCCACATTGCCGTGTTTTGGCGCCTTGCGTCTCTGCTCCTCCTCTAGTCGTACCCTTTCCTGCCAGAGAGCAGAGTAGTCATGCTAATGGCTGCATCAGGCTAAAGGCTAAAGGTTCTGTGCTGTGGCCCATGCTTCGATTTTGAAGTGTGCCGATCCATACAATAGCGATTGTCCGCGATTCTGCTGCGGCTACCAACCCACCTCCGCCTCCGCCTTGGATTTCTCGAGCGCAGCTTTTTCCTGCGTGCGGTCTGCAGAAACTCAGCCGGCCGCACAACCCTATCATTCCCATCCCCACAGCATCCCGCAGCTTCAACGTGCAGATCACGCATGGCTCTGTGCGCTTGCATCCTGCCCCGCCTCCTGTCTGCGCTTCTCCGCGGCTGCCTGCGTTGCCATGCATCTCAGTATTACGAAAACAAACACACACAGACACACAGACACACAGAGCTTCCTCAAACTGCAAAGGCGTTCTTTATCGTTCTTTTGAAAACTCCAACCTCCTCCGCTTCTGCACGAGCCTTTTCCCGAGCCGCTTCTTCCTGCTGAGCCAAGCAAATCGAAATGCAGCACTGCAGACCAAGCCATGGGCAAGGATAACCCAAACGGGTGAGCAACATTCGCGCAAGTTTGGCTTCACTTACTACATACTGCTACCAACGGTCTACCATGGTCTGACAGGAGCCCCGTCACACCTCTTGTCTTCGCAGCGCTTCCTCTGCTAGTCGCGCGCTCTCCTGCACTCTGCTCGAACACGCGGCAAAAAACACAGCACAACATGCAAAGTTCTGACGCACAAGCCCAGCATAGGCGCGGGGCAGTTTTGCCCAGCTGTTTGGCTAAGTCTGTATATGATTTTGCCAAAGAATACATACGAAAGGAATCAGAACAGCCTAAGTGAAGGGGGATTGCAGTCTCCCAAGAAATTCTCTTTCGAAAAGATACGAAAAATTGTCGCGATCAATCCGGTAAGGGGTTGGTCCTGGAGCCTGCCTGACCTCCTATAACGGGCACTCTTTCTGGACCCGCTTTTATGCCACATTGCCATGTTTTCGCGCCTTGCGTCTCTGCTCTGCCTCTAGTCGTGCCCTTGCCTGCCAGAGAGCAGAGGAGTCATGCAGCCATTACTAAACCCCAAAACCCTACAACTTTCGAAGCCTGAATGCTGAGAATTCTCCCAGAAAAGATATCAAACAACCTGGCACAACCAAAAATAGATGAAGAACCTGAAGCCCAGAGCCACAGCCCCAACATTTTTCGAAGCCCCCACGAAAATCATTTAGGGTATTGTGGTCTTGTTTACATGAAACAGCGGTTATCATGGGCTAATAATGGGCTCCCGTATTAAGGTTTCAGGATCGGGGCCTCCAGCTCAGATTTGGCATTTTCAGCTGCCAGCAGCGCCGCTCGCTTACGGCTCTCGATGCTGAAGTCCTGTCGAAGGGCCTGCTTTTAAGGCTCAAGGGCTTGCGCATGCCCTGAAGGGTCTTAGGGCTTCCAGAGGTCCATGATTTGTCGATGAGTTAAGGGCTTTTCGCGTTTGCGTTTAGCCCATTTCAAAAGCCCCGAATTGCATTCTGAGCGCTCCACCAAGTGCGTTTGAAAGCCTAACTCTATGTCTAACTTCAGGAGGTTCTCTTTAAGGTCTCTGAGTTTGTTTGGACTATGGCTTTCAGACCTCTTTTGGCCGAGGGGCATCATGTGCACCAGGTGCAGGTGCGACGGAGGCGGAGCCGGCGGAGCCGGCGGAGCGCTCCGCCAGTCGAGGTTGTCGAGGTCGTGCGGGCACGACATGGAACGCTGGGCCGGGTGCTGCCTCGGAAACAAACTTGGGGTCAAAACACAACCCCTGTTTAAAACTGCAAAGCCTAGGAAGCCTATAAAGCCCATACCCTATAAACTTATAAACCTTTTGACAGTGTCTTGCCCGGACGACTCTTCAAAAGAAATAGCTCTGCCGAATTCGTTTTTGAACTTGCTTCGTGGTGCTAGTTTATTCCGAAACAAGGACTTTTGGCAGGAACTAAGATGTGTCGGATTTCATGCCTCATTTTGATCTGTTAATCAGTTAAACTCACGAATGTGGCGTGGATGCTGCAGCAGTACGTAGTGCTCCCAACATTTTTGTTTTACTAGAGTCAGGTTTCAGTCCGAAAGCTACACATTCAAGATTGATTGTGCTGTGAGGTTATGTGCCTGTGATGGCTAGTTTGTGACTTATTGTGGACTTTGAACTCAATTTAACTTTCATTCTTGATGTGATTTGCAATTTCTGCGCAAGGCAAACATGTAAAGCAAGGGTAAACGTAAGCGCCTAAACAATGCGGTGATGCCCATGCAACGCTTTTGCACAAAACACGATCGGTGCCTCAAACATTAAAGAGGACAGGGGGGAAACTTTTTGCCTCCAGCGGGAGTGCAATGGAGTACAACCATCTCTGCGCGTCTGTGCCCTCACCACTCCTGGAGCTTCTCAGATTAACGTCTGACACATCGGCGACTTGTGTCTTCACTCATTGACAGAAACATGCAGTTTTATTCCCTACCAGTAACAGCATTGACGAACACGTCGACAATGCAAACATGTGATATGACAATTTTTCCCCTAGCGACATTGACGAACACGTCGGCAGTGCAAATATGTGATGTGTCTTGGCATGCTTCTGATCCAAGAGTCACCGGCAGGCGTGGCTGAAGAGGCTGCGACAGGAGTCTGGCTCACGGCCAGAGGTTGCCCGCACGGAGAACGCAACTGCAAAGACAAGCGCGAACCCAGCGCGAAACACAAACGTCGTGAATACGTCACTCAACACATGCTTACTCAGATGCATTGACAATGGTCCGTGAGCTGTGCTTGCAAGCCACATTAGTCTGGCCCACCACGGGACGAGGAGGCTGCAGCGGAAACATGGTCGGCCACATCTTCAGCTCACGATGTCCGCAATTGTTGCGATTCTTGAACCTATGGGTAGAGTGGGTAGAGCTACACCAAAGGTCAAGGTCTTGCTTTTTGCAGCAGCTTCTCGTGCAGAACAGGCACGTCACGATATGCAAGGGCCCTCAACTATATGTCAAGAAAGTGTTTGGTTCCCACAAGTTATCTCAAGCAAAGACCACCTCCATCATCCTTGCGCAATGACCGAGATGCTGGCTCAACTATTCAGACGTCCGTGCCTACGCACATGACGAGCAAGACAGCTTGGGCCCAATGATTCATCCTTATCCCAGATTCTTGAAGTTTGCAGGGAATGGTGCAATCAAAATACAGCTCTGGTCCGGGGTATCTGTGTCTTTCCCACTTGCCGTGCTTGCAGCCTGTGGAGACCTAATTGATTCGATTGCCGCATAGGTCCACCAAGCCATGATGTTTCACACTTACAAGGGTTCTAAAGAGCTCTAGAAGAAACAAGAAACGATGAACCAAACAAATGGCAGGTCTCAAAGCTCTGATTAAAGCCACTTCCCCGCCGATGCCCACAACAACGCTGCCTGGCTTCGAGCACCTTTGCCTCTGTGCTTTCAACCTGCTAAACACCCACTTGAACTACTTGCAAACAGAAGAGGAAGAGGAAGAGAAGAAGAAACATCGAGGCCAAGCGACTTCTCTAACAGATCCAACAGTCGAAGGCGTTCCAAACAAGGTAGTCTCCAACTCCACCAGGTGCACTGAACCGGATCTTCCAAGCTCTATCTTGGCTGCAGGCCACAACTGTAGAGCAGGGTGGCACAGTAGAGCAACAGTTCCCCGCTGGATTTTTGAACATGATGGCCCGACGGCTGTGGACAGAGATACTGCGAGCATGCCTCGCGTTCTGTACAATTCAAACACTCTTCTTTGCGCAGTTGCCGCTTAGACAAGCACGTTGGCCATTGTAGGGACTCCATTCCTGTGACATCTTTAAATTTAAGCAGCAATCACGAACACAGACGAGGCTCCTGCTCCTGATCATCACGAGTCGGCCCTTGCTCACACCAGGACGGCGAGGAGACCTAACCAATGTCTGGGAACTCGTCTCATGCAGCGTGCACATGCAAGTGCCCCTGGTCTCTAGACCTCCGGGCTCAGCGCAACAAGGCACTGGCAAAGCATTTCAAATTCAGTGAATTGAGACATCGTCACCGACATCGAAACACATTTGGACAACTGTCACTTCTGGCAGCTCCTGGAGCTTTTGCCCAGGGCAGCTCAAAAATGCAAACGTTTGCAAAACCAAAAAAGACTCAGGGAGAGCCTAAGCAGAGCCTTCCTTCAGTCCGCACATGCTCGTGGGACTCGTGGGAAATGCCTCATGGACTACTGGACAGGTCAATGCAGCACAGCTAGCTTTATGAATGCAGCTCTTCCACATTACAGCCAAAGTGCACTGGACAGCTGAAGTCCTCATGCTGTCACATTGGCCAGCAGGTTCAGATAGTTGTCTGTCCGGTGCTCGTCAACTCCTTCGGCCAGGCTCCCATCACGCTCCTCAACCTGAGCAAAGAGAGAATGCACCGAATGCATACCGAATGCCCACACCATTGCCAACTGAGAACACCGTCCGTCGAATCTGTTGTTTGAAGCTCTCCTAGCCTGCTAGCGTACACTCTTCGGACTTCGTGCGGCAGTTCAGATGCGGATTGCTTCACCCGAAAACTATATTTTCTTACCTTTCGTTTGACATGCCTGCACTCTGGCTCGGAGTGGGCCCTGCCTCCGGCCCTATCAAGAAGTCACCATCGCTGGTAAGGAGACAAAGCTTCGTCGCATGCCGATAGCCTCACAGATCCAGGTGCTGGTAGCAGACATATGGCCAGTGTCAGTCATTATCGACGGTCATGCTGGCGCTATTA